TGTGACATGAGAATAAGTGAAGAAGAGGACTGTTATTGGACAAAACACCGCACACATTCTGGAGAAGGTACCAGATAAAGCATTTTAAGTGTAGTCTGAGGCCCCATCCACACTACTGCGTTCTCAAATTAAAACCTTTTGCACCTCCCGTCCAGACTACAACGGCGAAAACGAAGACCTAAAACGGAGAAGTATAGAAGCGCTGCCGACCCCGTTTTGCGTTTCAAAACTCCGGAGGGCATTTTAGTATAGACGGGCCAAAATGGAGGACTTTAGAAATGATGACGCAGCCGCTCTCGCTTGGTTCTCTGATTGTGTCTTAGAAGTCATGCAAAGTAGAAACACAATGCTACTGACCGATACTGATGGTATTTTTATTAAAATATTATGTACCGTGAAAATAACACTTATCTGCCTACACTTGTACTGTGCAACGACTCCCAGTTTGTTTTCCGCTGGCACACTCCCGTGTTTAATCAGTAACAGTCCCAGCTCCTTATTGGTGCATGCAAAAAAGAAAAACTTCTTCGTCTGTGTTTATTTTTTCTTTCGCCAAATCTTCTGTAACCAGGAAGAGACCATCTGCTTCATGTTTACACCGGAGATCAACTCCAAAATGCAGCTAAAACGCTGGTGTGGGTGGAGATCGTATTCGTTTTAATACTTCGTTTGTAAACTAAAACGGAGTAGTGTGGATGGGGCCCGAAAAACTATTATATATTCAGCAGTTAAAACTCAGGAACCCTTGAGGATGAAGTGACAAATCCTTTTCAATTGGAGAGGTCCATTGATTTTGTGAAATGGTGGGGAATAAAGCTTAGTGCACATCCTACTTAGCTACACCTGGGTTATTAACAACAGGTTAGCCAGGTGGCTGGTTTCACCATGAAACTAAATGCATCACGCTCCACTGCACCTAACAAACCCACAAACAAACAGGCTGGAGAATTGAAGTGAACAAATGCTGTGTTACAGCAGCTGATCATTGTGGGTGCCTTGAAAACAACAATAAAACACGTGTGCAGCAAAGATGCCGTTACATTTCCAAGGTTCTTTGAAAACATAAACAATCAGGCACAGTGCTTTGAAAGGTAGAAGTCAGGCTTTGTACACCGATTTTTTTCCTGTGGATCACCCTAAAATGGAAAGTACCAATTTTAATATGAGGATAATACAATGTGCTGTTTGTTTATATGACTATGTTTGAAACTGAACCCCCCCAAAGTGCAACTGATAACTTAGTAACCATAACAGGTCATGGAAGCCCTGTCAAATGTTGGCTGTTACAACAGTGTGCAAGGGTCTGTTGTCAGAGCAAAAGTATGTAAAGAGTTTGCAGGGTGGTGTCATTGCTTAAGCCTTGTTCACACTACACGATTTTCTGAATGAGGGGTAAATCAGCGATCGATCGGTGGTCACCAGGTGTTATGTGTGAACTACTCAACGACACATCAAAGCGGCTACCCGACGCATCGCTGACACACTGCCGACGCCAGCCAGATATCTAGCATGCGAAATATCTGGAGGAGTCAGCCAACTCCACATCCACACCCACATCCAGCCAATGAGAGCAGGCAGCTGGCAGAGCAGGCAGCTACTTTTTCACTGCAACACTTTTTACTCACCTCCAGCTCTCTCTGTGTCACGGACAATCCCTGCTACCTGCGTGTGCTAATCCTTTCTTTCGCCAATATTCTTTGTCTTTATAATTGCTATCTTTAAAATAACAAACAACAACTGTTTAGTGTGTAGTGTCGCATCATTTCACATTTCACGTGTGTTTTCTTGACAAAATGTGGTTTGGAGACCAGCCGTCGGGTAACATAGTCGTTGTCAGCTCACGTAGTGTGTGACCCCCTGTCACCGATTAGTCAAGTACTGTGAACGCCACAACTACTTCAAGACTCCTGTCAGAAGACGGTAAGTTGTGTAGTCTGAACAGCACGGCGAAGTGTAAAGAATGGATTAACATTGGGTTTATCTGCTTTAACCTAGTTGCAGTCTCATAAGCTGGCTAATTAGTGTAACTTTACGACCAAGTGTTACTTCCAAGACCAACGAGCATTTCATTTGTGGGGTTAAACAGTTCACCTACACTGTGAAGTATTTCCTGATTATTTGCTTTGCCCTGATTAGTTTCACCTGTACCTAGTTAATCACCTCCCTCTTTGTGTATTTAGCTGTGTGTTTCCCAGTGTCTGTTGTTGGTTCGTCCTTGTTCACTGTAAAGCGTCTCTGCCTACTTCCCCTACACGCATGTTGGATTTCTCTCGATTTTGTGTCTGGTCTGTGCCCTGTTAGATTTACGTTACTTTTGTTCTGGACTGCATACCCAGATTGTTGGACATTTACCTGGCTTATCACTGTAAGCCTGTACCTTTTTTTGTTCTTTGCAAGTAAACTGAACTTGCTTTGCCTGGTGTCTTGCGTTTGGGTCCTAAGTGTTTCCTGTGTCTGCGCTTGGGCTAACAGCCCTGTTTTTTGGGGGATTTGGAAAAGTTTACACTTCAACTAAAAAAAAACATTACACTCACCAAGCACATTAGGCCTCGTTTTGAAAAGATTTTCTCTTATACCATTAAAAAAGTGAAACAACAAATGAATTCGAACCCCTGTCTTGCTTGTCCAATATTGTAAGCGAATAGCCTATGTTTGAAATATGAGTCTGAGCTTACATTTGTTCATATCATACTTTGATAAGTATAATGATAATAACAGGGCTTACTAGCGCTATACTACAATACTGTTTCTTGTCTTCATGTCTTCTAGGATGCTGACTTTTAGCCTGGGACATGTTAGCTTCAGTCTTTGTATTATAGCACAATATCATGTGGGTATAGCCATAAAGTGTATATTTATCAAATATGCATGAAGTAGCCTACATATTTAAGAACCCTTCACAGGGTTCTGTTTTAAACTTGTCTTGTCTTTCTGGAAACATTAAAAAGTCAGCTGGTGACAGTGTTTCCAACCAACACACGGAGCTAACATTAGCTTAATTCAGTCAGCTAGTTACAGCTCATAAAATCTGCTAGGGACAGTTGTCATTGTAGCAAACACAATCGATAACTGTTGCTTTTCTCTATCTCTGTCTGAAATTAATGACCTGTTGTTGTAGAAATTACTGAACGAAAATAATTTGTCATATTTGTTGTCCACGTCTGCAACAGTTTTCAGGGTGGGAATCAGTGCATCAGTTCAGCTGGGTGTCAAGTTGAGAAAAGTTTTTTCTATTGCAAAAATGAAAACAAAACCACAAAGATAAAACAAAACATCAATCCGCTTGACACCTCTCATGCTTGGACCTGGTGAGCCTCTGAATATGAAGATCTGGGATATTATTTCAATCCTGAGAAGAACTTGACGAAGTCGCTGTCAGGCATAAGATCACATCTTATCATGTCGCAAGACAGGACGTCAAACATTAAACAGACCACAGAGTCAACATGGCCTTTTTCCAAAAGTGACCTGAGCTTTGATAAGGGCATTAAAGGTGACCTGATTAGACAATTGGACATTGCCAACAAGGTGAAGATGTGTCTGTACATATTTTGTGTGAATGCATATTGCAGTGCACGCTCACACACACCACACAATCCAGGCTTCAAAAATACTCAAGCATACACACCCTGTGGCCCATTTTTGCCCTGTGAGATGAGAATTTTTTTTTATTTGCATCCACAAAGTCTTACAAAGCAGGATGATTTGTTAGAGGTCAGAGTCTCCACCTGTGATTAAAGAGAAGCGAAAAGAATAGAAAGAGAAACTCAGGAAAACATCCAACTTCTGGGGCCATTAAGATCCACAGCAAATTCAATACAAATCTGGGTATAATCATTCTATATTCCTGGGCAGTGATTAAAATGTTTGTCAGGGTGAAAGTTAATCTACAAAGAAAAGTCACAGTAGGTGAAATAAGAAGTGTTGTCTGATATTCTGATTCAAAATAATTTTGAGGCACAGAAAATTCCTCCAAAGATCTCGGTTTTGGCACCGCTCCTGGACGCAGCTTTGAATTGATTAATTGCGTCCATTCTGTCTCTATTGAAAAAAATAAAATAAATCTAATAACAAATGTGTTGAAAGCTGAAGGGGAAAAAAGATATGCCAGGAAAAGCTAAGGAACAGAAAGTTCAACGTTCTAAAGAATATTTGACATGCACTATTAGACGACAGACTAACGTGACAATGGCAAAACTCTGTTTCATTTACAAGATGCTCGAGGCAGGTTGATAATAACCGCCTGTGTGTTTACTGAATAAGACTGATTTAGGCTACTTTTCAGTGATGGAAATTGGCTGAAACGGAGGTGGAGGGTAATTATTGGCCCAGAACGGTTTGACATCACAGCAGCTGCATCCTGATATGACATGTAAGGAAACTGTAATTTAAAACTGAAACTTCTGAGAGAGCAAAGCAGGTTTAGTTAATTTAGTTTGTTCATACTTTCTTAATGGTTTTTATCTCAAATGTTGTATTTATGTGTCGGTTTAATTGTGTTTACTTTAGTCTAATGTTTTATCTTTACACTATCCACATAGTTACGGTGGCTACAACTTCCGTGGTAGCTCATGCACTGTGCAGCACATTGTGCTTCCATGTGGAATGAAATGCTTGCTTTAAGTATTGTTTGAAGAATTTTATCACGCTAACACATAAGCACATGTGACATCATCATCAATGCCAATTAAACAGATATACTAATAACATCTCAAGCAATGACTCCCTGGTGATAAGAATAATGTGACAGTGATGTATTTATTCTTTATGCAAGCATGCATGCTGAATATATTGTATATTTGTGACAATATGTCATCTGCCCAGTGTCATACAAAGCAAAGAGAAACTGCCACTACCCAGACTGTCACTGTGGGCAGTCAATAACCCTGTTGCATTGGTAACTAATGTCACAGTGACATGATACTAAGATACTTCACAACTTATGGGCTTCTGGCCTCAATGTGAGTGGAAAAAATTAAAGACACACAGGCAGAGAAAAGAAAAAGCTGAGTCTCTTGTAATATCATCAAAGATTGGTACTCAATTACAGACATACAAGCCTTTTTACAACTTTAATCACCATCAAGAGTTGAAAAAGAAATTATTTCAGGGCATTTTCAAGCTGTGTGGTGACAAGTGTGACGACAACAACAGAACTGGTACAAGACTCACAAACAAAACGATTTGGGGTGCAACACTTTTTAAAAAAACTTTAACTACGATGGTCTTCTGAGATGAAATCGATTTTATTAAGAGTATATTACTATAATTTAGCATCTAATATATGGCAATAATTCGTTAAAGTGCAGTATAATCTGTGTGTAATTATTCTCTAGGTAAGACAGAGAAGTGGAGGACGACAGACATAACTTCTCTGTGTGCACCCTACAACGGCATGTGATTTTCCCCATCAGTAATCTGGCAATAAAAGAAATGACAGGTTTTCAGCAAGCACACACAAACATTTATATATTCACAAAAACAGCTGCGAAATGGCATTTTAATGTAGGCTTGCCAGCTGTGGTTGTAATCACTCTTAACACCCATCCACGCTGACTAGACCACATACACAATGTTAACAGGTCAAAAAATGTAATGCTATTGAAAGTTCCTCCCTTAAAGACTCATTCACACAATTATATTCTATGTGGTAAACATATAAAGAGCAAATTCATAAAAAACTTGCACACATAACTTAGCACACAGAATTTTTTTATTTTTTTTCCAGATACAAATATATATTTGTATGCCCACACACACTCACACACAGGCTTATAGTAATCAAAAAGCTTGGGACTGAATCATTCCTATAAAAATGCTTTTTAAATAATTTGCTTATATATATATATAATCTAGTAGTTTGCTTACAGTGTTTATTTTGGGTCTTTTCATGCATGATCTCATGCTATGCAAAATCTGAATATTTTATGAATTGTTTATGTTTTTAAACTCTGCTACCAGTTGGGCGTTGACAGGCTACAATTTATTTTCAGGCCTGTTAAAAAGTTAGAAATCGGCTTAGTAACCTATTTGCATTAATGACCTTAAAGTCGGCCTATAGTAAACAGCACACTACTGTTTTAGGCTACAGTCTAAGTATAATTTGAACTACTATAAGCTATTATATACACTACTGTGCTGTATTACAATATAGTGTATTTCAATAATACACAGTACAGAAATTAAATTTGAATAGTAATTTGAGCAGCATTTGAAACAGCTGCAGTGCTTTAAATGGGTCAATAAAATTCAGTAAATAGCTAAGCAGTCTGTTTCATTACTTTAAATTCATCTTATAAAAATACAAATGTTAATTACACAGTAATCTTCAAAAGAAAAAGAAAAGAATTTGTTCATAATAATCATCCGCTTATGTTATCACTATAAGAGGTTTTCACTGTATAAAAATGTTTTCAAATTTAAAGGAATAGTTTGAAATTTTACGGGAATCTATCTATCTGCAAGAAAAAGCTAATTTCCAAAAATGTCAAACTATTATTTCAAAAGTGTATCTGTCTGAAAAGAGAAATGAAAACAAAATGTAAATAAAAATATACTGAACTAAGTAGATTATGTTCTTTTCACAATCATTGGCATTTAAAATCTGATTTAAAATTGAGTAATCTGAGACTATGACTATTTTAATAAGACTATCCATGACTCACTATTCGTATTCCTATTTTAGCCTTCTTAGTATTGTGACCACTGTTTAAGTATTTTATTTCAACTGTTGGCTAACTTTGTATTGTTTTATCTTCAACGTATTTTGTCTTCATTTCAGAGGTTTCCAGGCTCAAAGGGAAATAAAATAAAATAAAATAAACACTGAAGAGTTTTACATTATAACAAACACATTAACATAATCTTTCTAAAATAAATACAACATCTAGGTTGAAGGATTTGTTCAAATTTAGTTTATGACAACAGTGACACTCAGACCTCCACTCTCACAATCCAAGCAGCAACCAGTGTGTCTTCAGAGTGCACCTCTGGATGCAGTCCCTCTAATGGCTGCTAGACACTGTTTTTGGAAACGCCAGCAGCATGCTCGGCCAGTCCACTACTCTTTCCACCTATAATCAGTCCATATCATCCAAATACCTGAATATTTAATAAGATTCCAAGCAACCAAATATTTGCACGCTAACATTCTAAACTTAGGACTGTCATTGTGAGCATGTTAGCATGCTGACATTAGCATTATAGCTCAAAGCACTGGTGTGCTTAAGTACAGCACACAGAACCGCTAGTGTTGTTGTAGACTCTTTTTAAAAACTTTTTAGTTTTCAGTAATTAATATTTGGCCACTATGGTTCAGAACATTTTTAAAACAATCCAAGAGACACAAAGCCATCCTCATATCCATGGCTTACACAGCTAATGGTTAAAATGTTAGCAAACACTCACTTACTTACACATCCAGCAGAGACAAAGAAACATTAGCATCCACTAAGCACGTTTCCTTTGCTTTTAAATTGAGCTTGTTTGTTCCGGCTTAATCATACAGTCAGTGTGCAGGCCATTAAAAAAAAAGGAAAAATGAGAGCTAAATGAGGCTAAAACCCTCTGTGGAGCTGCAGACTTAGGTGGTTATTCTCTGTGACCACTTTTACTTCATACAGATCATTTGAGCTAATGTTGATATCAAAAATACAGTCAATCAATGCAGGTATTAAAGGCTTATAAGAATGATGTTTCAGGGCATGTTTGCCAGGTCTCTCTACAGCTCCAAGTGTATTACACTTCCTGTGGTGGTGGGTGCTTGTTTGTTCATCTTTAGCGGCAAGCTGTTGTGCAAATTGGGATTTAATGTCCGTCTACAGGTACATACTGTATACGTTCAGTGTTTCTACAATTCATCTCGTGGGTGTGCGTCTTGCAGCCAGTGTTTGTAGACAGCCACGGGATCTATGTTCCAGTGCTTGTGGAAGGAGATGGGTTGCTGCAAGGAGACCATTTTCTCGGAGTAGTCATCCGGTCTGGCCTAAAATATCAAGAACAAGCGGTTTGTCTGTGTGCCGTGTGCTGTATGCTGTCTGCTTGACGATTCATGTTTAATTTATTCTCCGCCATTCTCTTTGCTGCAAACTATTTTAAAGTTGCTGCAGGGTACAATTCCATTTTGTTGTCATAGTCCCTGTAACACGTAAGGCAGTCTTTCTCTTTTACCACCAACATTTAGGGACAAAGATGAAGAGAGCATCATGAGGAGCATCATCTGACACTGGATAAAGGTTAATGTTGCTTGGATCTGCAACACTTGGAGTGCTTTTGACTTATTTAGACAATCTTTGGTCCACAGTATGCTGCATAAAACTATCTTACAACTACACTACTGTTTGTTGCAGCAGTACATTAGCCGGATGTTTTTATGGTGAGAAATTGCACTTATGAGTATGATGATGCAGGTAATTCAGTTACTTATTACTTATTTGAAGATGCCACAAATAATCACTAAGCCGGCTGATTTTTGCTTTGTTAGTCAGAAAACTTATTTATAAATATGAACTAAAATACAATTTTCATCCAATTATGCAATATGTAATATCGATCTTATAATATATATGAATAAACAGCGTGCTACACAATAATAAGCCTAATAATAAGCCAGACCCAGCATCTAATTGAGACCTGCATTTATTTGTCAAAATTCAGCTTTTAATTTAAGTTTTACGCTAAGTAGAAATCCAAGATCAAACAGAAAGTCTGTTTGTCTTTGGCTTTAGATATCTCGGTATCTAGATATCCTATGATCTGGAATTTATTAGAAGAAGCCTGTCTGAACTTGTTATTACAAGTTTTGCCCCCTCTCTTGGTATTACAGCAGTAAGCTCTACAGTATTTGGGCATGACTGCAACCTAGCTCCTATACCACACTGAGAACACCATTGCCTTTCTGAAAACAAGGAACTTAAAAATGCAATCAACATCACAAACTGACTGTTACTGTACTATCTTAAGGCTGAATATTTCAGTCTGAACACTGACAAAAAGATCTCTTCCAACATGTTGTTTGTAACACTTTGTTTTATAGGTTTGTTATTTCCAAATTACAGTTTTCTCAAAAGACTTGTGTACTTCATAAAGAAATTAGAGAGAAAGTTCTGAGACAGTTATTGAAGTACAGGAAGTTGTGTTGAGATTATAGGGAGCTGATGATTTCCAGAAGGATTTGCCTGAAACAAGTGCTCCATTTAACACAAGTAAATACTGATAAATTATTAATTACTACCGGAAAATTTAGTGTTTTAGCGTTACATGCCTATAAAAATATTTCACATTTTTGCATGTACACTTACCAAAACATTCTCTCTAGGTTATGTTGTATTTTAGGTTTCGTCTGGGACAGAGGACGTCTCTTAGATTTTCAACTGCAGCTGATCTGCCACTTAACATCATACTGAGCGAAACCCAACACAACGGTAGAGCATTAGCCCAAGATCAGTTCACACACAGGCTTATTGCCGTATTAGTTGTAGTAAGAGATGCATTATCCTGGCTGATTCCAATTACCGATTATTGACCTGCCGATTCTGATACTTTGTTTTTAAGAACTGACAGTATATATAAACATCTTTTCTTAGTAATGTTTAGGATCTCCATCAGCACCTGCATAAACATTAGCTATTTTCACTGGGGTCCATTCAATTGTATGGTCATAATGAAACATTAATTATTAGAAAACATTCACATTTTCACTGAAGGGAGTTTTGTTTTGTATCCACAAATGAAATCCCCCCCAGGAAAATTAGGCCATTTTAAAATATATTTTAATTGAAAATATTTGAAAGAATACATTACCATATTTTTAGTATTTTATTTCTAATCTCACTATTTTTATTCTACTTAATTCTCTGTGTACAAACTACAGTGATCTGATCACCTTGTGTTTCACTTCAGACACAAATGCACCTACACATGTCTGTCTCTCTCTCTGCCTGTGTCCTTCTGCTCTGACTTTATTTGTCAGCAGTTTTATAAAAGAAAAACTTGCATGACATGAAACACAGCGCATGTAATTTTCAATGTTCAATTCAAAAGGGCCGATTATACTATACAACAGCCTATTCCAGTCCCATTCGATTGATCAGCGCATCTCTAGCTGTAGTGGGTGACTTACCACCCACTACTTATCCAACAGGCTATTAAACTAGCTACCAAACAAGCTAGGTAATGTTGAACTCATGGAAAAATACATAGGTTATCATAATTTTTTGTCATGATTAATTTATTAATGACTCATCAACTTCTGTATTAAAGAGAAAATAATCAGTTCATCTGATGTCATAAGTGGAACACATAGCCCTGCCAGCCTTGCTGGAGTTCCACATCTACTGCAGGGTGCAAACTTTCTCTCCCTCCGGACAGCAGAGTGTCGCTCACGAAAAGGGGGAAAGCAGGGATGAGGGACTCAAAATGTTTCTAAACGTAAAAAACACTTTCATTGCCCCATTTGCGTTTGCATTGTTATTTATTACTTACACGATTATTTTAAGTATATATCACCGCGATTTCCACCTATGCCTATTAGTACCAAGTTAAATACAAATACAAAGATAACATTGATGTTCTCTTCTCACTGAAGCCGGTCATTAGTGCAGTTATTGTTTCTGGCTCTACACATTTATATGATTTGTCCTTTAAATTAACATTTACGTTTCTTAATAGAAAAATATAGAAAACTGTGGGAACTGTGAACTAAACATGGAGAACAACATGTCATCCAGTCTTGTTCTTATTGAGTATATCTCAGAGTTTAGGGGTTGAGATGTAAATGTAGTTAAGGGGAGGTCCTCACAATCATATTACAAACATGTACTTGTGTGTGTGTATTTCCTACCTGGTGGAACAGTGGACTGTGTGTGATGGGAACACCAAGGGAAGTCAAGCACCTGCCCAGCACCATGTCATCAGGAGCATCATCACTGTAGCAGCTACAACCGCTGGAAACAAGCCTGGACACCGCCACCCTACTGAGCACTATCCTACAGAGAGAGAGAGAGAGAGAGAGAGAAAGCAGACTTTTAAATAAGACTGGTATTCTTTCATCGGCAATATAGCGCCATTTTGACTATAGATGCGAACAATTCCCTACCTTACCTTATACTCTAAACACAGTGCTTAAATGCAGCATCATTTAGAAAAATGACCATTTTATTGTTTTATAGACTGTAATATTAATAATAATATGCTAATCTGCTTGTTTTTTCAGACTCCATCAGGCATTCAAAACAGTAATACAATACGATAGCTACTCTCTGCAGGACAAAAGACACATAAAAAAATACCTGCACCACAGGGAGTCCATTTTAGACTGAGTCTAGGCTACATGTTTATAGGCTACATTTGATAATATTAGGCCCATTTGCATCTGTTTATCTATACCTATTATTACAAGCCAAAGGCTACTTTATGGCTCGAGAGGAAAAAAGAGAGAGATGGGAGGGATATAACAAAAACTCCCAGAGTTTTGAGTTCAGTCCCAAAATACAGCCACATTCTCACATGAATGGTTGATGTCCATTCATAGCTATCTTACAGCTAAAATCTGTACATTTGGCAAAATATCACTTCCTTTTCTGTCTGAAGACACCTTAACACCTTTACACCAACAGCAAAACCTCACCCTCCTCCTCCTGTGATGTAGCTGTATCCGTTTTGAACCAAGCCGTAGCCGTATTTCTCCCCCAGGCTCACTGCTTCCTTTGGGTCATAGCAACGCAGCAGCCGGCGCAACCTGGGTAAACTGCAGATAATAATCAACAGACAAACAGACAGGAAGTAAGCACATACCATAGACACAGGACTTTTAGGGAATTTCTAAAGTTGTTTCTGTACAGCACTACACAACCACAACCGTTCACTCCCACCGGTGTTTTCACTTATTTTGCATGACTGAGCTTTTCTCACAACTGTGTGCGTGCACGGACTTACATCTCCCTAGCACCTCCTCACCCTTTTGTGGCAGTTGTCAGTCAAACCTTTATGACTCTAACTGGTTTATGAACCTAAAGAGAATTATAATTAGCCAGCAAGTGAAAAAACACCTGTGTGAGTGTGTGCACGATATTTAAATCAAAGATATGTAACACAGGAAGGACTTTTTATTTTTACTTTAGCTCGTTACTGCAGAATGTTTTTATTGCTGTTTTAAATAATTAAAATTATGTGTAGTAAGTTAAAAAACATTTTTAAATATCTCCCACTTACCTGATTAGTGTATCATCATCAACAATGAGTAGCCAACCTGCCTTTGGCACAGCTCTGCTCAGGAACCGCCTCAATATGGCAAATGTCTTCCCACAATGTCCTACAGGGAGACAACAAGTGTGGAAAAATATGAGGCAGGGGTTGCCAGTTCAGGTTTGGTTCTCGTGAAATGCTTGGGTTGAACAAATTCCTCAGACCCCATGAAAGTGTTAAATCAGCGTCCGTTTTTTTGACCCCTAAGATAAATGACAATGTCTGTGTGACCATTTTCTCATCGAAAACAACCCCTCATTTGTTTTTCATAGTTCATTGTTTAAAATTGTTATGTAATAATCAGAAGCACATAGTCTGCCAGTATTTTAAAATGGTTCTGATCGGTGCTCCTAAGCTGTGAGATTTAAACCACACTCCTGGTACTGCACAAACTGCAAAAACATGATCTATATCTACTTTAAAGGTCAGATCAGATACTTTGAAAAACTTCATACTCTTTAACAACACTGAAACTGACTTTCTACCATGCCAGCAGAGTGGCTCTATGGATGGCAATTTTTGTCTGTTACTTGTCAGTCATTTTGGTCCTGAATGAAATATCTCAACATCCACTGGTCAGATTGCCAGATGACAATTTATGCAGATATCCACGGTGCCCAGAGGATGGCTCCTACTGATTTTGGTGATCCTCTGACTTTTCAGTGTCCTACTTAGAATGAACACACCCTTACAAAATGATGAAAGAAATGAAAGCACAGACATACAGTAGTAAAAGAACATCTGGAGAGAACATTGAATATATTTACATAAAGTAGTTACTAGGAACAACTTGTAAACATGCCAGTGAAGAGGCAGGCAAAAGAACAGCAATTCTGTGGTGAATTAATGAAAAAAAAGAATGGGGTAGAATAATAAGACGTCCAAGTGCGTAGGTATTCAAAAGAGACAAAAAGAAGGTCAATGTGGTGCTTTAACAAAAAGTAAGAAAGAGGAGAAAATATCAAACTCTATACTAGATTTGAGCACTTCGCTAAAAGGAAAAAAATGACTAAATGAACAAAAGCATTAAAGAGTGTGGGGGAAATGAAGAATGAAGAAAAAGATATGGGACAGACATGACAAGCAACGTAATACTTCTATCAGCCTGTGAACAAGAGCAGAGAGGGGAATATAAGAATGGATAGGAAAAAGAGGTGTCATTGACACTGTGTCCCCTGCTGTGTGAATAGACTCAAAAGTACATTAGAGGGAGTGATGCACAAAGATTGCTCTGTAAGCAGGGGTCTCTCAGACAAGAACACATGTAATACAAAGATAACATTGATGTTCTCTTCTCACTGTAGCCATTGTCATTAGTGCATTTATTGTTTCTGGCTCTGCAGCTTATTCTTAGGAAGATCAAGTGTCATCTATCTGCCTCTTCACTGGGAAAAAGAGTGGCGTTGTGGTTATTTGCTTTTGATTTGTCTGTCCATACTGATTCCTCCATCTGGGGTACACTTCAAAGTGCATGAGGACAGAGGAAGTCAGGGGTGTTTTCCATTTGTATTCCTTTCTATCTCCCTTTCACATTGATCTCACATCAGGAACAAAACTTCAGTTTGAACTTGACGAGCTGCTAACAATGTGGTGACTGAAGTACAACCATCTTGATGACGTGAACATTTGCAAGTCGTTAACATGGGAATCTTTCCCACCTCTACCATTCATCCCTTATGAGATTATGATGACATAATATCAGGTGGTAGAGCGGGTCGCCCACTAACGGGAAGATTGGCAGTTCTATCCCTGGCTTCTAAAGTCTGTATGTTGAAGCTTCCTTGGGCAAAATACTTAACCCCTAATAGCTCCATTTATGAATGTGATGAGTAGCTGGTGCCTTGTCATCAGTGTATGAATGCTAATGGGTGAAAGTGACATGTAGTGGACAAGTGCTTTGAGTGGACAAGACAAGAAAGGTGGAATACAAGTACAGCAGGTATAATGTTTACCATGTTCACCATCTTAGTTTAGCATGTTAGCATGCTAACATGTGCTAATTAGCCCTAAAGTACAACTGAGGTTGAACTTTTGTAAGTACTGGTATAAGTATGGTCATAATTCAAAGTATTAGATAAAGTTACATTTTAACCAGAAGATGGTGCTAGATAAAAAGTTAAGAGGATCATCTAAGGCATTAGGACTAATCCGCTCAACACCATGAATGGCCAGAATGTTGAGATATTTCTGACTGACCCACATGACTGACTCTACCCAGTGACTTTCTGCGCATCATCTTCTGGCAACTTATCTATCCATCCATTTTTAATAGACCTATTCTTGTCAGAGTTGGCTACAGGTGTCACAAACATCCTTCTGCAGCTCCTCCTGGGGGATCACTAAGTGCTTCCAGGCCAGCTTGGCAATATAATCCTTCAATTATGCTAGATCTGTCCCACAGGAATCAGTAAACATTGCTGCTGATCAACTCACCTCTCTCAGTATTGGGCACTCCCAGACTGATTGTGGGTATGGAGGCATCAGTGACATCACTGTAATACTCTAAAAACTCAGCGTCTTTCTCCCAGGTTGCTTTCACCACTGGAACTGTGATGAGAAAGGTACAAAAAATATATCAGGTAGGGAAACTGTGAAGCAGACATACATGTGGAGCTCTGTCTTACTGTCTTTGTTGGAACTCATAATTAAGACTATGTCTCTGCTGCAGACCTATAAATTCCAAATAAAATAATGGAGGTGGGACCAATCTTACATTTATTTATTCTCAAACAAATCCTTTAATTTATTGATTGTGCATAGTACTCTACTTTGATGTTTTGCTATGCAATTAAAATCACCTGAATTTACAGTAACAGCCAATTCACAGCAAAGTTAACCACACAGTGTTTTTCTACTTTTGATTTTGTTAATTGTTTTAAAATAGTCAGTCCATAACACATGGCACATTGTGACCCTAAAACAGACATCAATGTTTTGGATAATTACACACACTGTTGCAATTTCAGCAGATAGTCTGGATGAGGTTGTGAATTTAAACAGGCACTTGTCACCTGACAGGTTAACTAGGACTGAATGACCAGCAGAATGTTAAGAAAGTGGCAATTCCTCTTAGTTGTTATCTGTAAAATTTAAAAAAAATAATTTTGATGAACTGACATTTTAGTTTTTCAACATAATGAAATAAGACAGCAGCTAAATTTAAAAAAAAAACTCCTGTTAAAGGTAGCTAGCTTAGCAGACCTCAGTAGCTGCCATGTTGTTTATTGACTCTGGTGAACATCACGTATTTTTTGTGGTTAACATACCTTTTAAATCACATATTTAGATGTATTAAATTGTAAATTAATGTATTATGCCATAGTTAAAGAGATAGAAAGAAACTCAGAAACAAACAAAGAAACACTTGATTCCTTTAAGCTATGGTTTGTAAATAATAATAATACTAAAGTTCATTTTCTTAAACTGGTTTAAATTGATAAGAAAGTGACATAATGTTGGTAGATACTGCTGTATCACTGAGCAGTAAAGATTATCCAAAGGCAGAGTGCAGTATCTGAATTTTATTATGTATTATGTTGGTTATATTGTAATTAAACATAATCACCCTAGAAAGACATAAAATCTATAAAGTCTATTTCACAGTTTGCTGCCCAGCCTGTAAACATTAAAACCTTTTTTTGTTTTTGTGTGCTCTGCCTAGGGTTGTATTAATACTTTTACTTAGATAAAGGATGTGAATACTTCTTCAATCACTGCAAAATATAATATTTTTTATTCAATTAATCCAAAAAATGGTCGGGAATAACACACGCACCTCGCTCTGAGTGGAACTTTTGGCAAGTTTTCACAGCAACAAATACATCTTTCTTCGACACTGGATCTCCCTAGAAAAGGAAGAGGACAAACAATGTCCCTCTTAATTAAAAAAAAATGAAGCATCATAGCTATAAAATTGGGGGGAAAAGTGCACAGTTGAACACAAACACAGTGTGAGGTACAAAAAATATGGAATGGAATGGATTTAAGATTGAATTACACAGGTTCTAACAGTATCATGTGGGAAAAACAAATAACAGACATGTGAAAGCGATCCGCTTACAAATTTCTCTTCTGCACTGAATTCCTATTTCAGGTGTCACTTCTTATTACAGAAAATTACCAGCTGTTATGAGGATGTCATGACTTATTTACAGTATATCTGTCATTTAATCTGCTACCATTGTAGAATACCCCTGTAAGCTCACATCAAGTTCTACATTTTTCATTTACTCTTGGTGTCAGATGGTCTTAAATTATGTTATTAATTAAGTTATTTTATGCAAAAGTCACGTATACAGCAGTGTGTTTTTTCATATTATTGTGTGAATTTATACTTTTACGGACAATTAAAGGATCACAGATGCAATAAAACTAGAATATACATTATGAGAATGATTATAAGAATGAGAAACGTGAAAAATAAAACTAGATGTACTATATACTACACAATGAGCTAGACATTAACACACCATACATATGCACTAAATATATATATTTGTTCATGTCAGAAGTAAATCTGCTCAGAGATCCTGGGATCAATCCTCTGCATTAATAAGAGACGCCACCAGAGTTTCTTCTGTGGTTAAATCTTCTCTTCCTTTGCTGTCTGGATGACATTTACTGGAGGAGGCGGTATCCTGTGACTGCATCCTTGACTCATTATTTTGTGCTTCAGCCACATCTTCAGATACTAATCCTGCCCGAAATGAGGAAACAGTTTATTTCTCTTCCTTTGTAGAGTGGCAGCTTCGTTTTTTTTCTACGGGCACTGCCATGCTGAGCACCTGCGGTGGACGTCGAACCTCAAGTGACAAGCCCACGTTACTGTGGAAAATCAGCTTTACTACACTGAAATAAAAAATCAACACAATAGATAATGCATTTGGAACGAATGTTGGTAAAAGCCCAAAGTGCACGCAGAAAGTATGGGAAGAATCACTTATATTTAATTCATATTTCCAGCTTGGTTACATCTGGGCTATACTTTTACTAGTTATAGTTACTAATATATTTCAATTTATTCAGAAAAATTCAGATTTAAAATAAAATACCAACAGATTATTTTACGTTAAATCAAGGATTTGGTTACTAACTCCAACATCATTTAACTTAGAGAGAAGATTAACTCTCAGGAAGTGTGTGGCTTTTTTACATGATTAACGTACGTTAACCCAAGGAACTGGAGGTAAATACAGTAGAATTGAATGTACAAAACATGGGTAGTTTTGGTCATATCATAATTCAGAGAAGAGAAAGCTCACACACACTGTCTTTTTACAGTAAACTTTATTAGAGATAGAGGGTTTCGGTACTTAGGTAAAACTGAGAAACAGAGAACATTCCAGACAGATTAAGCCAACATCTCCCCAGGTGAGGCCAACCAGAGACCATGAAACATTTGACCATTGCACCTTCTCTGTACCATAAAATCGTAAGGCAACGATATTGTGCTTTGTATCATTAAGTAGCCTAAACAGTTATATAATTAAATTGTGAGATCTACCACTAGCTTAACCTTTATTGTCATTATGGAAGAGACAATTTTGGAAAACATATTTTAATAATATTCAGTGTTTGCATATAAACTGAAGTACTTGCTGTCTTTTACAGATTGCGCCTTCTAATTGGCTTAATGCATGCAGCCTCTGGGACTGATTGCCTGACAGCTCATAGTCCCCGATTGGCTTCACCGGAGATGTTGGCTACATCTATCTGGAATGTGTGTTCCTCAGTTTTAGCTGATGAAGGCCTAAGGACCAAAACCTTGTATCTTCAATAATGTAAAAGGACAGTGTGTGGGAGTTCTCTCTTCTCTAGCCTATGGATATTACCTCCTACGCACCTGTTTACAAGAAGCTGTAGGTGTACTTGAGCCTTTATAGGTCATATCACAATTAAAATCATGTTTTTATGTTTTGCCATTCTGGCATAGGAAAAATTTGTAACTCCTGTAAGGATTTTATTTAATGCTGTTTTGTGTACCACCTTCTCCTTTAGCCTTGTGCTGTTTACTCTGAAATGTGCAATGGTGTTCATTTTTTGTGTTTGCTTTTGTTCCAACTCAACAAACAAACACTGCTCTGATCCTTCATCCCACTCAGTACTGTTAGCTGTCTCACTCTGTTAGGCCTTCAGACGGACTCAGCCCACTCACCTTTCCATTTGTATTCCTGTATAATAAGTCTTGACAGTGGCAATGTGTGTAATGTGCTCACTGTTTGACGATAACTAAGCTGGACAGCTGAGTTGTAAATGTGATTTAAGGTGATGGATTATCAAATCAATCATGAGGGATGTCCTTGATGTCCAACCTTTTGATAATTTGCTACACCAACCTAGTCATGCCTACATGAAGGCACACTTTCAACGAACTTTCGTCCATAATTAAGAGCTGTACATACACAGTTGGGTAGGTAGGTTGTAAACGTCGTAGCACAGAAGTCTCCTGTCTCTGTACAAAACTCTGGAACTGCTGTCAGCTTTGGACCATTTCCTTCCTCCCAAATATACAACGCAATCTAGAAAGACAGACATGAAGACGTATGTTGGACTTATGGTTGTTGAAACAGTAATTTGCAGTGATGGGTAATAGGTACAACAGCTCATTCTGGGTCCTCAAACAGTAAATATTTCCTGGCAGCTCCGGACATCTCAGTAACTCTGTCTCTCGTTTTCAACCACAAACACACACACACACACACACATACACACACACACACAAACTTTGATTAATATGCACTTGCATGGCAAATCCTTTATTCTTTACTACCTGCAAGTCATTAGAGAATTTCAAAAGGGACACATAGCTCATAGTGAAGATTCATGCTATGCATTTCAAAGACATCAGCCCCTTTCATTTTAAGGACTAACATTATGTATTCATGTCTTTGCTTGTGCGTATTCAATCTAGTTAGAAGTAGAGCTGTTGCATTATTAATCTACTAACAGGTGTATTAAAAGCTGCAGGCGTAGAAAGCTGCAGGGGCCTTTTTAGCAAAAGGCTGTGCAGTCGTTGGGGGAATATCACTATAATCTATCACTGTTATATGTCTTAGCATTTTAAGATGACACTGACATTTTAGAACTGAACCAGAACCGAGACACACAGACTCAAGAATCTCCTGGAAATCTTTTCAAAGTACCTCATGTTTCAAGTCAATGGTAAAATCTGACTTCAGACGTTCGTGTTGGATCCGCTCAGCGAGTCTGAAACACATGAAAGTGAAAGATGTTGAAAGAAGAGAAACATAACATACTGTATATACCGTATATACATATATATTAGAAGTCCTTGGTTTGGGTCAGCAATCCCTTTGACTCCTGTTAAATGTTTATACTAAATATATCAACATGTGCGTTTTCTGTTATTATGGTAGGTATGATTATGGCTTCCAGAATAATATAGGTACCCCAGGTAATTCTATGCATCCTCATTTTATTGTGGTGTCTCAGAACTGTATGTGCTGCCATTGTTTATTTACTGTACCTTCCTGGCAGCTTAACTTTCGTTTATTTCCCATACAATGTCTTGTAATAGTGTCTACTCCTCCTACGTCCCTGAGATGGTGATATGACAAGTGATTGATTCAAGTCACTAATGCTTGCATACAGAGTGACTACTGGATCTGCACCCATCTACCTAAGCTCCATAATACAAGTTTACGTTCCTTCTCGGCCACTATGCTCGCACTTAGCTCCATTTAGTATTAATTTGCTCTTACTAGTATTTATTTGCTCTTACTAGTATTTATTGCTGCTCTTACTAGTATGTATTGTCAGTTGTAGATCTCGTGCTGTATTTGATGCTTTGTTGATGCTTGTATGTTGTTTCTCAAATGTAAGTCGCTTTGGATAAAAGCGTCTGCCAAATGAGTAAATGTAAATGACAGCTTTCTTGCTGCCGTGTAACAACCCTTAAAAAAATCTACTGCAAACTTCAATATCAAAAAAAGAAAGAAACCTATCAGTGATGTTTTCATTCTCACACATCTGCACACACACACACACACACACACAAACACACACCTCTGGAGCAGTGGCTTGCTGAGAGTCCAGCCTGCTGCAGGGTCAGGGTAACTAAAGGAACTGGGGTCTTCAGAGAACGCGTAGTGGTGGATGATGGAGGCGTCATTGTCATGGAGAGGCTTACCCAAAAACAATTCCTGTGAGTTGCAAAAAGAGGCACGGGCATGTTAGTGTAATATGTGAATCAGTGCAGTGAACTAAGTCACCATTAAGACATTAATATAGCACAAAAGGTTGAAGAGTGTATAATAAATACAATATATAGGCTAGGTTGGGGGGTGTAAATTTCACCTCTTGGACTGGATATCTGTGGAGGACGTGCAGCAGAGCAGGCAGTGAGACTCTGGTTTCCTCCTCTATGAAGACAAACCAGGATGCTGTTCGGCCATAAGTCGCAGAGAGACTGGAAAGATCCGCAAGAAGCGATACTTTATGTATTTATTTCCCCCACAGGAATCATTCAATTGAATTTGGTTTAATAAATTTGTTTATCATCTCCATATGGGTGATACTCACAGAGGAAGCGCAGGTAGGATACTCCAATCCCCCTCATACTCTGACAGCTCATGGAGAAGAAGAACAATTGGAACTCCCTGCATGAAACAAAACAGTTGAATTTTACAAAATGTAAAACCCGTGTGTTTGTATGTGTGTGTGTGTGTACATCTGAGGGATGGGACATGAAAGTAAAACAACATTGAGGTCAAACTGGCACTTCGAGCAAAAAAGAAAAGGGCTTTCTCTGTTTCTGTGGTCAAAAAGGTAAAGGTGTTTCCTTCGAAATTGTAGCATTATAAATTCAACTTTCTGGTTTGTTAAACAAACTTCATAAGAGGTGATTGTCAATGTCAAATTCATGTTGTCTGTATATATAAGTAAGTATACTGTTACTTTAAAAGTTGAGAATTAAACTTTTTCCTTTATTCTAGCATATTGCATTTCAATGTTACTTACCAATATGCATGCAATGGAAATTCCCTAAATCATGCAGTTTAATTACATTTAGTGTGGACATATATATATATATATATATATATATATATATATATATATTTTTTTTTTTTTTTTTTTTTTTTTTTTTTTTTACATATTTACACAACATATACATGGCTGTTTTTTAGGGCTTGAACCAGGTTTTTGTTAATTATGGCTAACACTTTAGGTCTATCAAAAAACAATCTGCAGGGATGGGATGGGTGAGTGAATGTAAGTATAAAATCACACTGAAAGTAAATCCATTAAAAAAAAAAAACCCTGAGAATTATTTCCTTTGAATAACACAATTTACCCCAAGACAATCAAAGACAACAAAAGTCATGTTGGATGAGGACTAAATGACTTGACCTTTACCACTAGAGGGCACTGTAAAAGGGTGACCTTCTCCCTGAGGAATGCTTGATGGAAGAGATGAAAGTGAAAAGAAACAACGAGGACCATACACTTAAGTGACGTCTTGGAGGAAACGATGCATGCTTCATGCTTCACTGACGCTGACAGATGATCTGCTGAACACAGCGTGTTGAATAACACCATCTGCATGTCCTGCAATGTGCGCTGTTTGGAGTTTTATGCAGCTTGGATTAAACTTTTGGCAATGACATGCTCAAAACAATGGTAAAGAGTTGATTCAGAAACTGTCTCCCTCCTCACAAAGTGACTCATGCAGAAGAACTCACAAGTCTCTTCCACGCAGCTATTCACAGCACTGACATAGACACAGTTGTGAAGATTCATGTAAGTATAGCAAAACAATGGTTTGAAATGCTAGTCAGTGTCTGTTTCTTCTTAAAGTCCATGTTCAACTCCAGTACCAAAGAGCTATAAGAAGCTATGTCAGGGTTAGGGAGCTTCCAGGGCTCTCAATGAGCAGCATTATGGCAATATACTAGGTCATTACTGGCTACTGCCTATGGACAGGGAGTGGGTGATATGGAGGTGCTCAACATCTGATTTTACATAGAAATACAATTTTTCTCCCAATAACTTAATATTCAGCCTATTACAATATAAATTTCAACATATAATTCTGTAAATAAACATCTGAAAAGAAAGAAGCTTTTAATAAATTAAAAGTATTAAATAAAAAGTGCGTGAAAAAATCCAAAATTGTAACCCTAACTCTCAAGGAAGAGGGGGTCAGTGCGCATGTGTAGGCGTAGAGTGTATGTGTGTAGTGGCAGAAGAGGAACACTTGCTGAAGAGACGGAGCCCAGGCTTCACTGGTGTTGTGCAGAGTTGTCCGCACCTCACGGGACGTTTGGATCTTTTATCACCTTTGATAAACCACACAAAGAATATTATCCCGTTTTTAAACAGTTATTTGAAATAGACCCGCGAGGAACCGCGACGTGCATCGGCCGCACGGCGTGCATGCAACACTCTGCACAAAACTGGCAGGCCAGCAGAAAGAAGGATCAAATAATTTATCAAAAGAAAGCCTCCGTTTAGCTGGAAATGTCCACTGTAAGTTACACTGACTAATAAATAAAGACTGCAGCTCCGCAGCTTCTCTTGATTAATCTGTAAACAGTTCAACCTGGTGTCATGATAAATCTATCCAATAGCTGTTGAGACATTTCACTAAAAAAACAATAATGTCAACCTCATGATGAAGCTAAAGGAAAGGTCAGGGGATGACCAAAATCAGTACGCTTTATCCTCTGGGGACCATGAATGTCTATACAAAATTTTGTGGCAATGGACACATGCTATTCACAATTTCCACTTTATTTCCACGCAGACAGCCACACAGTGCAAACACATCTCTTCCCGGGTCCTCTTCAGATTCTGAGGGGGTAAGAGGGGTTTCTACCATGCTGTAAGTGTTGTGGCGAGAGAGCAGCAGGCAAATGAGATGACTTTGTAATGACTTGGCTGATGAAGCTGAAAAGGCGCAGCACTGGCACTGACGTCTTGGTTTAAAAGCCTGTACTTGCTGCAGCTGCCAATAACAAATAAAGAGCCATGTGGCACAGCTGTAACATAATGTTTATCCCTCCCTATAAATATTAACCAAAGAAGTGGAAATTATGTGGATATTAATCTGTGTAACACAAAGGGCTAAAATAGAAACTGAGTGCTGCTGCTCATATTTTGGTAGCATCATCACCACAACCGTACTATAATTTACCGGGTGACAAAACCCTTTTAGTGTCACCAAATAAACATGGAAACAGGCTTACGTCAGTCAGACAACAAGCTGTCAGCGTGTTCGAGTCTGTGAGCCACCTTTAATCCCTGCCTGCAGTTGAAATAAACACCTTGTTACATGTCAGTCAAAAAAGCATGACGCACAACCTGCCCCCGCACAAAACAGCTCTGCCCAATCAAGGTCCATCTCACTGGGATCAACCAACCTCACTTAGTCAACGCACACATCACAGCCACCTGACTGCACAAGCACACGCGCAAAGATGATTGTACACACACACACACACACACACACACACGCATCCAAATGTGTTATTTCTGAGACTCTGAAATTCTAAACTACTATACTGATTTTATTATTTGACACAACCTCTCGATTCACATATTATCACATAATAAAAATTATTCTTTCATTCAATCGAGAGATACCTGTTATTCTTGAGTATTGTGTCTCTTTTCCAGTCATACTAAAAACTTTCCCTTCCAAATATCTTATTCTCTTCCAAGACTGTGTTCCAGGACACAATCAGCCTCTGCATTTATATACATAAATATTTCATTTAGTAAATAACACATTATGAAGAAACTGGTTATTGTGTTTATCATAGTATTAATCTAACAAAATAATCAGAAATGCTGTATATAAATGCTGTATGTAAATTGCTGTGTTATTTATTTTGTGTATATTGTAGCATGCAAGAGGAAAGCTTATGTAAGATATTTCCACCGGAGTTATGTTGACAACATCAATATACTATTTCAGTTAAGAAGGATATAGTAACCATTTGAAGTGAGAATAATCTGTGGAGGGCCCATAAAATGTTTGTAAGGTAATCAAATTCATATTTAATTAAAGTCAGGGGTTGACTTAAAAAGTAAACTTTTTGGCATTCATAAATGTCATGTGTGCACCCATGGGCTCCGCTATTTCCATCTTAGCTCTCTTCTATTCTGTTACTATTTTATGCTGTCATCTCTGTTGCTGCATTATCATTCTGACATATAACTGCTTTTCACAGCTACCGTACATAAATTTGATTTGACAAAGTGAAGTTTGCTGATGACACTAAAATTTTGTGCTCACTGAATTAAACTGATATTTCTACATACTATACATACATTTTCTTGAAATTGGTGCGTAAAACACCTCAAACCACCACCAACGACAACATATGGCTTCTAAACAGATCAATCTTAGACATGTCAAATTCAATCACTGCTCCCACTCTGACGCCCTGCAAATCATTTCCTGATGTGTACATTGTATGTAATTACAGTTTTTCCAGCTGCTACATCACATTTGTTGTTTAAAGGCTCCAACGCAGCTACAAGAAGGATGACACATACTCAGAGAGAGTACAATAAACCCAAATCAAACCACAAATCCAAAGTGTCATCAGACAAAACATAAAATCAACTACATACTTCCTGCCTGATCATATCTGAAAACATGTTAGCCAGTTGAAATTTTCAGAAGTCAAGGGAAATAAGGAAAACAAAGTAGTATGTTGTTGTAGAAATAATTCCACAGGGCCCTGTTTACTGCCTTCTGCCATTTGTTTTCTATCAAGGAGGATTTTCTGAATTAAAATTTAGGTTGGAGGAAGAATCTATGACTGTCTCTTTATTTCACAGAACCCAGCAACAATTCTGTGTCTCTGCAGCAGGCTGTCATCCCCATATTCCTGTCATCTTATCTCACTGAGGTCTATAACAAATTCGATTTCACAGCTGCCCTGCAGGCACATAACATTAAATAACTGTGTGACTGCTAGTTTCCTCTCAGCCCCGGTAGGGGACCTCTATGGCAAGGAGGACACCTATTGGTACCAGTGCCATACCACAATTATGCATAACCCCAAAAGTCACTGGCACAGTGAGCTTCTTGCAGCATCTTTGTCCTGTATTGCCAGCACAGCACATTGCAGGCATATTGTGGGAATATACACAACCTTTTTGAGCCCTTGGTGGGAAAATCTTTTGCTCCAAACCGTAAACAGAACTGCTGCCTTTAATCCATCCTGCTTCAAGCACATTACTAAACGAATACATGGTTATTGAACCCTTCTCATTTTAATAGTAAAGTGTGATTTATACTTTTGAGTCGAATTGACAGCGTAGCTTCTGCGTAGCCCTTTCCCCTTTGCCGTAGCCTAGGCCGTAGACTGACGTGCACCTCCTCAAAAATGTAACTAGGCTACATGTAGGAACGACGTGGACGATAAGAACTGTGATTGGCCGGCTGGGTAGCCTCACAATGCCTCTGAGCCGACAGGAAGTGCCCCATGCTGTGAAGTAAATTTTACTAGCGGCCAATCCAGCGGCTGTAACACGTTGGATCAGATAAGAGTGGAGCTAATTTTCGGGCAACGTGTGTGGACACTCAGGAAAGACCAGGGCCAAGATCTCAACCCAGCAAATTATCCCTATGAGGCAACTGCTAACTGCCCAGCAACATTACCTGTCCCAGTTCAGTTGCCTGCTGCAGAATCTCCAGCTTACTCTGACCACCTCGACGGGTGTGGTAGGAGTTCCTCTGACTCTGGATCACTAACACCACCTCATCCAATCCTGTGAAAACCACACACAGAAAAGGTACAGGGACAAGAAAAGCAAAGAGACATGACGATGCAGAGAAACAGAGACACACAGGAATCCAATAATTAATTATTTTCTTGCAATTATTAAAGTACATATCAAATGTCAACTGTGTCATCAAGTGTAGCTAATCACTCTAATAGTAAGATAAATTTGGAAACAAACCCAATTATCTTGGGATTTTCCCTAACTTTAATCTCTTCTTCTTTTCAGACTCAGTCTGATTTGTTTGAAAGTAATTGTTTGTTTGTAATTTGGGGAATGCACACCACTCCTGAATTGAACATACACAATGCAAAACCTACCGCATCTCTCTCTGCTGCTCGTATCACTCCGCTAAGCCACTCACACCAAACCCACAAGTTCTTACGGCAGCAGAAGGAGCCAGGTTGCCCTGAGACACCTCATCTCTCGTAGAGATTGAGCTTGACTGAATGAGAGCATGCATCGAGGAGGGGGGCTGCACAGTGCGTGCCCCAGCAGTGATCAATACTGCATTAGAGACTCCTCCTGGCTCTGATTGCCTGTTTTCATGGATTTTTGCAAATGTCATTAAGGGCAGTAGGAAGAGCCAGAGGAACATGGTCTATCCTCCTGTCATGATATAGTGACAGTTTCATCAAATATTTATTAAAGTTACCTACTGAACCTTTAATTAGTAAAATGCAGGAGGTGTTGGCAGCAGGATTTTGTTACCTTTGCAATCTAACTTATAGAACTTTTATATTATCCTGCACTATATAATTATACATTAAATCATAATATGTATATATGTAATGTTATACTGTTTATTGCATACATCAAATCTTGATATTATTAATACAGACAACTCTGGGGATCAATAAAGGATCATTTTACCTTATATAACTCTCAGCAAGAAAGCCTCTCATCAAATCTATTTATCGTAATGAACAACCTGAAAGATTTTGGTGTGTGGGTTTAGCTCAAATACTCGTGTGTGTGTGTAAATGGCATTTCAGGCTGCAAACACAGAGTACAAATTGGTGGCATGCATCAAAAACAAACCTCATTCATATGTACCATATAACTGATTTGCTTTCCTAAATCACTGTGTACAAAACATCAGACCATCTGCTGTGAATTCCCTCACTCACCAACAGAGTTGTGTGCAGTGCGCTCCAGGGGCTCTGCTGCCTGCAGGGAGTCAGAGGGATTCATGTTAAGTCTGACACACGCTGTTGAGCCACATGATGAAGCATAATTACAGCAAGAAAATGTGGGCAGAACTTACATGAGGATACTCTGTGTGTTTGTCTCCAGCAGAGGAACCTTGAAAAGAAGCAGCACTGTTGTCATTATCATCAAAATGCATGAATTAATTGTGCTGAAATGAGCAGGCAATTTATCTTTCGGTCGATCAGTCAAAGGCAGCTTGTAAGTCTGTAACAGCTTAATAATAACTTATTAAATTTTCAAGTCATATATCAAGCATAAAATGCCTGTTAAAAAATAACTGTAAATTGTTGAAAAAAGAATATATATTTGTGTTTTGGACTGTTTGTCAGATAAAACAAGTCACTAACATTATGTTCCTTGAGCTCTGGGAAACATTGATGACAAAATCTAATAAACAAATCTCTGAATAGTGAAAATAATTGTCAGTTAAAGCCCAATAATATGCAAATATTTCTATGTGAATATACTCGTCTTCCCTTTAAACATACAGAACAAACTACATCAATGCAGGACAGAAACCACTTTGCCAGAGTTTAACATCTTTACACATCTGAAACAGTATGACATGTAATGATGGTGCAAGCCTGAGCAGTATACAGAGTATAATTACATTATTATAGAAACTACAACAAGCCTGATATGAATGGGTAGAGCTGCCATTCGTCCAAGAATGGCAGCTGAATTCCATTGCATCTGTAGGTAACTGCTGGGACAGATATCTGACTGGGCTCAGCCGGCTTGTGTTGAATATTTCAAGCAAATAAATACCCAATATATTTTACCCACATCAGCCAAAAGGTCTCTTTCATGGCATTTACACTTATGTAGAAAAGCACAGGTGTAATTAATACTATGAATGAGTGAGTGTCCCAGTAAGCCACGATTATCATTAATGTCATTAATTCATTTAATCTGTGCTTTTTTTCTGCTATGACATACAGTATCTCAGAAAAGTGAGAACATCCCTTACATTTTTGTAAATATTTGATAATAACTTTTCATTTGAAAGCACTGGAGAAATGACACTTTCCTACAATGTAAAGTAGTGATTGCATAGCTTGTATAACACTGTAAATTTGCTGTCCCCTCAAAATAACACATCACACAACCATTAATGTCTAAACCACTGGCAACAAAAGTGCGGACACCCCTAAGTGAAGATGTCCAAACTGGCCCAATTAGCCATTTTCAGTCCCCGGAAGGAGGGGTGTTCAGCCTGTCAGTGTTTAGACAATACGCTGCACACTGCATCAAATTGGTCTGCATGGCTGTCGTCCCAGAAGGAAGCCTCTCTGAAAGATGATGTACAAGAAAGCCCGAAGTTTGCTGAAGACAAGCAGACTAAGGCCATGGATTACTGGAACCATGTCCCGTGGTCTGATGGTGTTCAAGACAAACTTATTTGGTTAAGATGGTGTCAACCGTGTGTGGCGGAAACCAGGTCAGTGGTACAAAGACAAGTGTGTCTTGCCTACATTTAAGCATGGTGGTGGGAGTGTCATAGTCTGGGGCTGCATGAGTGCTGCCGGCACTGGGGAGCTACAGTTCATTGAGGAACCATGAATGCCAACATGTACTGTGACATACTGAAGCAGAGAATGATCCCTCCCTGGGCCGCAGGGCAATATTCCAATATGATAACGACCCCAAGTAAAACTCCAAGACGACCACTGCCTTGCTAAAGAAGCTGAGGGTAAAGGTGATGGACTGGCCAAGCATGCCTCCAGACCTAAACCCTATTGAGCATCTGTGGGGCATCCTCAAACGGAAGGTGGAGCAGGGCAAGGTCTCTAACATCCACCAGCTTTGTGATGTTGTCATGGAGGAGGACTCCAGTGCCAACCTGTAAAGCTCTGGTGAAGTCCATGCCCAAAAGGGTTGAGGCAGCGCAGGAAAATAATGGTGGCCACACAAATAATTGACACTCTGGGCCCAATTTGGATATTTTCACTTAGGGGTGTACTCACTAATGCTGCCAAGGGATTAGACATTAATTGCTGTGTGATGTGTTATTTTGAGGGGACAGCAAATTTATACAAGCTATACAATCACTACTTTAGCTTGTAGCAAAGTGTCATTTCTTCAGTGTTGTCACATGAAAATATATAATCAAATATTTACAAAAATGTGAGGGGTGTACTCACTTTTGTGAGATGCTGTATAAAAGGGGAAAAGGATCAATAGCAATAACATGAATATAACTATGATAACTAATGATATGATTAACATTTTGTAAAACATTTTAATATCAATCCACGTCTACAATAGGTTATTTTCCAGTGTCTATTTGAAGCCCCTGCACATCTATGTTACACCCCCACAGGTGTTTTCACTTATTTTGCCTGAACCTCTTCTCTGGACTCCCCCTATTAGTTTTCTTTTTATATACAGTCTATGGTCAGGATATAGGTTCAGTGACCTCATGCATTTCCCAGTGTAACTTAAACCTAAGCAAACTCCTTGTTTTTTTTGTTTTTTTTTACAATTTACTTTTTTAAATCAAATGCTGGTTGATCTAAATAGTACACACATGTATTGTTGCAATTGGCCTGCAAGTTTCATTTGCAAAACTAAAGCTACAGTCTTTGCCATCAGGTATTTGATTAACTCGAAGTGCATCACTCACTGCACTTTAATCTGCCTCTTCTTTACAAAACTCCACCCGGGATCGCCTGCGTTTATTTGTGGTGCTACCCAGAATAAAATCACCATTGCCTGTTTAGAAATTCAAAATAAACAAATGTCTAATATTTTGTCATATTTTGCAGCAAAGCAAGTACCACTGCGACACTGATGAACAATTATATTTTGTAAATTTGAATCAAAGACATCTACTGATACATTTCCCAAACTGTAATGTACTGTAATGTATTGCTTTATTACATTGAAAACTTTACTTTGAAGACCATATCGAAGCAACTTCCGGCCTGCAGTAGCGCTTCTACCCTCTGTGATAGCCTGTTTAGTGCTAGCGGTTTAGCTTACACGGTAGCTTCCGCAGTAGGGCATTGACCCCACTTACCAAGCCAAAGAAGAAGCGCAGCGACCATTTTGCATCCGTTAACCACATTGTGGTGTGACATGGTCCCCGTGGCGGCTGATTTCCGTTTGAAATCACCGTCTTTTCACGGCGAACCGGAGAAACTGGCTACATTCCGGCAGTGGCGGAACTCTTGTGTTCGCTGTAGTGACTGTCAGTGAAGAGCTTTAGCGACCTCTAGCGGACACCTCGTTATTGGGTTATTACCATGACAGGCCTACTGTAGCTCAGTACACCACAATATCATGTTCTGAAATATAAAATACAAGTAATACAATTAATAATACAGCCCACATTTTAGAGTGACATTTACCAGGTTACCTTAAATGTAGGAAGTAAGACAGTTTTATGTGGGCCTTATTTTTACTTAAGCACAATTTTGAGGTATTTTACTCGAGTATTGTTATTTTCTTTGTATCAGGGGTTTTCAAAATTTGAGTCTGTACCCTCCTTTAGTTTACTTGCTTAGTTTCGCTCAATTCCTGGATGCCTATGGAATCATGATTATGCTATTTGATCCCAAAGACACTCAACAATTGAGCCAAGACAGCCTGATATTGCTGTTTGATGTAACTTTGACCATACCAAACACATAAAAAAAAAAGGTCTGTCCTAAGGGATTTATTAGTTTCTGACTCTGATAAAGTGGGAAAAACAGTTCCCCACAAATACTGTATCTTTAAACTCTCTCTTTAAAATAATGTTTAGTAGGCCTACATTGTTGTAAGTAATATAATTTTTACAAAGTGGTGGTGCTACTTTTATTTTAATAAAGTATCTGTTTTTTTTTCTTCCACTTTTGATGTCTAGTTACATGAGATTTAAACCAAATCTTTAATTGAAAGTTATTAAACAGTGTAATAAAGATCAGACTATATTCCTACAGGTTACCAGTCTACAAACAAGGCCATTATGTACAACTATACTGTTTCATGTACATAATGTGTTATATGAACATGCAGTTGATGCACGTTGTCGCTGTGAACTGAGGTGTACCAAAGACAATTCCATGGACCCTCATGGGTTCATTAAAGTGAAGTCATATACTTTTATAGTATTTGACTTTCACAACAGTGCAGCAGAAGAGTCCATGACCTTAGACAACATAATCATCTCTGCTTGCGGCCTTATGGTTTTTACTTTGCAACAATTTTCAAATATCCATCACATTGTTTATAAGCACCATAACTTGGTCTGCACATAATTGATAGATATGAGTCTTTTACACACACAAACACACACACACATCCAAATTAAAATTGTCATTATCATGGCAGAGGTCTGGATTGTGTGTCATAAAGTTACCTTTCCACAAACTTCCACAATCCACTAATTAAATCTCTGTACTGATCTGAGAGCAGCTACAGGCCAAACTACAGCAGTTGTGTTATCAGAGAGGAAGAGTGCTTAAGATTGTGTATGTTTGTGATATTGTGTCTCTGCCGTTTACATACAATGTACTATGGGGCAAACCATCCTGATGTATTGTTCCTAATGTATGGCAGATATTGTTTACAGTCTCACATGAGGAACAGGTATCCAGGAAGCAGGATGAAAGCATGTTTTCTGCTGTACACCATGCAGACTGGTGGAGACAAGCATAACAAATGAGTCAACAGTCTCCTGACCACGGAGTCTAAACATGAACTGCTTGGCCACAAAGATTAAACAGGCTGGCTCTGCTGTGAACCGCAGCTGTGAGTGTTCACATATTTTGTGGGGATAAAGTGAACTGTGTAGAAATAAATCCAAATGGTAGAGCTGCATTCTGTAGCAGCGTTAAGGAATCAGTGTGAGTGCTCTATGCGCAGAGCGGATATGCTGCTGTGATTCACGCTAACACAATGGTGTCACTTTTTATGAAGAAAGCAATTAGTCCACCACGTGTTCATCTACAGCAAAACTAGGTCTGAGCAAGCTTTGCTTATGACCAAAGGCACTGCAGCTGATCCGAAAAGCCTGTAGGGCCCACGCAGGAAAGGTTGTTGATATGAAACACAAATTTGCAGCACATTAAGGTTGTCTCAGAACCCACCAGTGTTTCAAATTAAGTGCAGTAATTTTCCTTCAAGAGTTCAAGGGTCCGCCTCCTGTTATTTCCAAGCACAAGGCCAAATGTTGCCTTCAAGTGGCTTCCCATAAAGTCGTACATTCTGGCATCATTGGTCTTAAAGTCTCAACAAAATATCATTTGACTTTCTTATTAATTTATTTGTACATTAATTGTTTATTTATAATTATCATTTACTAGTTGCTTACTTACTTATGCATGTATGTTATTTATGTAGGCTACTGTATTTATGGAAGAACCTTGATCAGTTAATAAAGTACCTTTGGAAGAGCTGTGTCATTACAAATAGGTCAGGTCACTTCATGTATAACAACACAGAAAGCAAAAACATTTGCCTTCAAAATAAAAGTGCAACTATTATTACTTTTGGTGTGAAGAACAATATCAAGGAGAAAAATTAGCCATCGGAACACATTACTGTTATGTAGCAGTATATTTTCTTTTATTCAGACACCATGTCAACCAAGTTGATACTCATACATTACTGCTTACATTTGCAGAGCATAATCTTCTTGAAATAAGCAACAATTCTCTGAGTAGTTTTATCTTTACTTGTGTACTTTGCTATTTGCTCATTAGCCAAATATTATTTTTTTTTCTCAATTAACTGATTAATTGTTTGGTCTATTAAATGTTAGGAAATGGTGAAAAATACCGGTTACAATTTTCCAGATATATGTCCAAAATAATGTCTTCACAATGTCTTGTTATATCCAACCTACCGTCCAAAACTCGAAATACATTCTAATTTAAAACAATTTACAATTATACAATTATATAGGCCTCTAGGCCTTTAATCTAGGCATTGTTGATTGATACTTTTACAGTTGATGTGTTCCAAACAAAAGCAGCAGATGTTTTGCTTGATGAATGACCTAAACTATCAACCGATAAAAGTATTCCTGTTTTATTTTGGCCAAAGGAAACCGGAAGTCTTACTGTGTAAACACATGTACCTTGACAGTGGTTGGACCTTATTAAAGCTGCAGACTTGAGTCAGACAGTATTTACAGCACCAGCAGAGGAGCGTGACGCCGTGAGGATAAACAGTGTCCCCCAGCAGGATGACAGCGACAGAAGTAGAAGAGTTCCTGAGAAATCCTCCGGACGGTTTCTCCGTGGAGGTCCTCGGCTCGGGTTACAGAGTCCACAGCGATCCGGAGAAGAGCCTGGTGTTCATCGATGCAATCAACTCCTCCAGAGGGAAAATTGTTTTCCAGAACTCGCTGGGAAGGTGAGAAAAAAGACAACTGCATGGGATGTGGGGGACACGTCCGGTATAAATGCACATATTTATACACACAAACAAACTAGAATGAAAGTGTCCGATTTGTTTTCCAACACAGGAAATTTAAAATGCACGATCTATGGGAGTACACCAGCATGAGAAAGAGTCTGCTGTCCAAGAGGATCTATCTGTTGGGGTCTGTCTGCGAAGACAAGACAAGAAAAAGGAAAAAGATTTCAGCGTCCAAGAAAAAGGCAGCCAAGCAAGCCAGAGGTGACTTAAACTGTCCAATTTGTATGTAATTACACTGAATTGATTACACAGTGAAAAAGGGTCTATCAAAAAGGTTTATCATGCACAAGTTGTGCATTTTTAACCTAGTGTGTATTTTAAAGCTCTGGATGGAATAATCTGTATATTGTTAAATCCTTTTATCTCTAGTGAACAGCCTGCATTCATTTATGAGAATGCATTATCAAAGTGGGTCAACCAGTTCAGTGGCAGGGTTGACTCATGCTGGCTTTCAAGCTTGGGACAATTGCATTGGGTGGAGTAGAGAAATTACAATGGCAGCACAGTATTGCTATTCCCAGTCCAGAAGAGAGAACTCTTGCGCAGCGTGTGTAGGCTACTCTCTCTCTTTCTCTCTCTCTCTCTCTCTGACACACACACACACACACACACACACACACACACACGAGACACTACTTTTAGTTAGTGATGATGGCAGAGAGAACTTCAGGTTCAAAGGTGTGGATACATTGATTGTAAGGGCAGAAACACTAGCAATCTGTCCAAACATTTTGCATCACATACATGCAGAGAAATGCACACTTTTTGACTAGCTCGTTAGGGGTGGAGGACTGGGCGGAAAAAGGGGACTGAAAATACAGGGGCCTCAGGTGTGAATAGCTGCACATGTAGGTAGGGGCCCATAGAGAACTTTTTGTGCTATGCACCTGCTGGTAGTTCTTAACGATACCCATTCCTACTCTTCATTCTCTCTTCTTCGCTGTTTTCATTATGAATTATCCTAAACCCTTTATCAGTGCTGCAGCAGTATGTGCTGTCCATCGATGGCAACAACCCCTTCATCAAGTGGCAGATGGAAAAAGGCCTGGACTGGACCATCGCCTCTGTTGCTGGGGAAAGCTACAGGGTTGATGTAAGCAGCAATTCATGGTCCCTTTTTATGTTGTTCAACACATTCCAGGAGTTATTTTGTTTTTGTAATGATTTGTTGAGGTTGGCATTGGTAAAGTGACGTTTCTCTGTGTCAGATTGACTTGAGTGAACTGCTGGAGAGCTGGGCAGCAGAAAACGTTACTGACAAACCAATAAAAGTCAAGCCTGTGTGGAGAGATGCCTCCTTCACCCTCAAATACTATTCTGATGCCTTCTTTGACTTCCCACACCAGTTTGGCTTCAGTAAAAGAACATTTAAGGTGTCTCTTATTCTGCTTATGAGATGTTGATGTTAATCATAACATTTTCTGGATTTGTCAGTGTGCACGGGAACTTCATCTGACTTGTCTTCTCTTCTTATATGTTACCATTAAAGTTGAGGCCGATATGAGCCAGCAGCAAGGATGGAGGACGTTTGTGATGTAGTCTGCTTCCTCAAGAAAGTTTCTTGATCAACAGATGAAAGGTTGTAATACCAACCTGCCAGGTGAAGGACTGGCCTACCTCTTTGGGACTGCAGGAACAACCTTGTAATTGCCTTTGGGTCCTGAAATGTTGAGTGGGTGGAAACCACTGACAAGGAAATTCAGAATGCCATGTTGATTGTTTAGGCCAATTCTGTATCTAGGTTTTTCTAAGGGTGTTGTTTTGCCATTTACCTCACTTGATTTGCAACTGTTGTATGAGGGGTTAAAGGGATCAAGACTTTTGTTCATGAAAATTTATTTTTTACCAAACCCAAATACAATAAATGCTCTTTTACAAAACACAGATTTTGACTTCAGTTTCATACAGTTCTCTTCAGGTAAGATCATGTGGGGAAGTGTTGTTGCCATTATGGGACCCACACCGGATTAGGGGATGAGCAGAAGAGCAGATGCAGCGCTGGTGATGGTTTCTACGTATTCTTTATAGTTGCTGCCATAGTAGTGCGTCAGCAGGTAGTTGAACGTGCCCACAATGCTCATCAGGAACAGGAAGAAGAGGACACGTTTTCCAAACAGGTAGCCCGGGGTGCTACAAAGACATTTGAAAAAAAACAAAAAACTTTGGGTTAGACCATGCCTCTCATTTCACACACACACACACACACACACACACACACACACACAGATCACTTGTGTTAATTTACCTTTGAGAGGTCTGTCCCATGTATCCAATAAAGTACTTCTGCCTGACTACAAGATAGATGATCCCAGCAAAGGCAGCAGTAGCTGCAGAAAAAAGGAAAAAGTGTTGGCAGATATGTTTTTGAAATTCCTGCTTTAGACATTCTACAAACTGTAAATTGTTTTCTAATGTGTTTTATATGTGTTGAAACATGGCAACCAGTGAAGTTCTCAGGTATTGGCCGGTATTATTTCCTTTGCACGTACATAAAGTCTTTTGTTAAAAGAAAAAATGGATTAAAAAAGTGTTGATCTAAACACTCAAAGGGCTGCTTCTGAAAGATTTAAGTGTATAAAAGGTTAACATTCCTGGAAAAAATATTCTGAAGTGAGGTCCATGGACAAATGTTTTTTTCCTAGTTTAGTGGCCTGCACAGATCCAGCTCCTCTGTGAGCTGGGCCTGATTGCCCTATGCCAGTGCCTGAAATTGCTAATACTCTTGTGGCTGAATTGGAACAAAGTCTCTACAGACAGGCTCCAAAACATCTTGTGGAACCCCTTCTGTGAAGAGTGGAGGCTGTAACAACGTTAAATGTTACTAATTTGACTGTAGATGCTGTTCTGAATGTGCTGCTTCTCAAACATTGGTAAAGAAGTTACCTACTGATAGATCTGACATATATAGAACCAAAACTACACTTGAATGTTTGCCTGTTTTCCCTTGGTTGACTTTACTCTGTGTGGATGTGTTCTGTTTACCTTACGGAAGTGTGACTGTCTCCTTCACAGTAACTGATTAATGATTACCTTGATTGAGGCACAGACCGGCACACCACATCACTGCCAGGAACGTGGGATAAGCATCCATGCAGTTACGACTAAAAGAAGGGTAAACAAGGACTGTAAAAACAGCTCATTTCAAAGATTCACCTGCAATGAGAAACTATGAAGCAATCCTCCAATCTGTTACAGACAGCACGGCTGACTGATGCTGAGCCCTTTTTTCTACAGCTGTTTGGAAATGTTTTGAAATTGCAGAGCAGGAGTGGCTGTGAGAATAAAAGATCCTAAGGCTAAAACAGTGCATGAGCTTGCAACATGCAGTGTGACTGTCTGAGTATTGGTGGAACAAAGTTGAAATGGGAAGCCAGGAAAAATTGAGCCCACACAGTCAGCACGCACTAGCTGTTGCAATAAATTGCAATAGTCGGTACAGTGTTACACAGAGCCATGTCCGTCAATCCGTTATCCTGAAAACACCATACCTCAGAACAATGTTTCTCAACCAAGATTAATTTATCAAGAGACATCTTTCTCAATTTCTTGCAATTGACTTGTGAAACACTTGATACTTTTACTTCTGTTCCCTCTAAAATAAACAATCTAAGAAAGAAAAATCTGTCTTTGGTCGATGACTCATGTCCACACAAAGGCCATAACACCTGATCAGGGGTCACTTGTAGACTTTGCTTCATTTTATGGGGTCACAACAACAAACCACTGGTTTGGAAGATTTCTAGTACGATATACAAAACTGTCCCAACTTTACAACACTCCCTAAACTGACCGTACTTTATAGCTGAGTTTAGTCATTGCTCTAAATTGGAAATATAAAGAGAGCATATTTAACAAGATATATTAAAAGGACGAGTCATTTTTAAACTGTCACCAAATGTTTGCATCACATTTTACAACGTTTGTACTTTTTTGAAATCCTCACGTTACCTTCAAGACCGGATGTGGCTCAGATATTTCAGGAAGTGCACTGTTGCTCATGGACTAACAAAGAGCGGTTATGTCAGTTGCAAATATTAGATGTGACTTTCAAGCTTTAACCAGAAGAGAACATCTAAGCAATGAAGTGTGAGAAGTTGTTTGCAATTGTCTTTATTAACCGATTAATCACGTGGTCTATAAAATGCTGGATTTCCCAAAGCCCAAGGTGACGTATTCAGATTTTCTAATCAGTAGGCCAAAATCACAATCACATTCGATTTACAATGATAGAAAGCAGAGAAAAGCAGCAAATCTTTGAAAAAATGATTAACAAAATAGTAGAAAATGTATCAGTTAATCGAGTAATTGTTTGATTGTTGAAATGAGGAATCTAAGTAGTCTGGTAAATTTAACATTGAGTTGGCCAACGTTTATGTGCCAAGTGATTTTGAAACAGAACAAGACACCAGTTTGAAACGTCCACAGGCTGCAAGTATATGAGCAGTTTTAACTTTAACAGGACCTGCAGATGCTGAGGAATCTCCTAACTGAGGGTGGAAAAATAATAAGTTTTCCTAATGGTTGCTGGCGCTTTCCCAGCAAGCAGTAAAATGAGCTCTGTAGCAGCATTTTCCCCATATCTGGAAGGGTTTAGGCAAATGTGGACTCCCAAAGGGAAAGTTAATGAGTGTTACAGAAGGAAACAAAAACAACACAAATCCATTCGTTGTTTTACTGGCATAGATTAGATCAGTGGTTCCCAAACTTGGATGTTGAGCAGACCTAAAGTTGCATGAATGTTAATCATGTGGTGGCAACCAGAAAAAAAGGGCTCTAATTCTAGCAACGCTATTTTTCTAACCTGAATCTTTTCTTTTATTTCAAGCGCCCCTGTTGTTAATGATTGATAAAAATGAAATCCACTTTGCAAGAGTCATTGAGCTTGAACTTTTTTACGTCTTCTAAAGGGGGGAATGATATAAAATTTTGGATTGGATTAACAGAGGAATGAGTATTGAAGATGGGGCACTTACTTGGCACAATAAACTCTTTCAAAAGCAGATGTTTTGGCATTTTGACCGTTGCCTTCCCTCTCTACCTTCTGGGCAAAGAACGCTAAAAACACAAAGATCATTAATGTCATCACAGTGTAATTTAACATCTTTACCTACTGATTCAGAGTATAGGAGTGTAACTTGCAATAGAAGATGCTCCTTGCTTTTTCTCACCGTTCTGAACTACGCTGATGAGGGTGACCATGACCAGGAGGTAGATGTGTTCCACCACTGTAGTGCTGGAGTCCATGATCACTGCGCGAGCTGTAGAAGTAGGTGGATGGAGATGCTGAGGGGGACAGAGCTTCTCTTTGACGTCTAGAAGTGTGTCTTCACAGCCAGCCACAGAGCATATACCTGATCTGTCCTTCTATCACATCAGGTACTCCCGCATCCCACCTACCGTTCCACATACACACTCGTTTGTGGCTTCCTCTTTATGTAAATAGTGCTCTGGCTTGATACGGAGAGATGCAAATGAGTTGCCTGCTACTTCCTCTGTGTGTGTTTGTGTGAGACTCACCAGACAGCATGCACATGCACGCAATTTTACATTGCCGTTATTGTATGTTTTAGTGTTCATCTGCGGTACAGGCTCTTCTAGGTGCCTTTATAAAGTATTTCTGGCAAATGACCAATGCATGGTTACAATATTGTCTCAATGACTGGCTTATTCTGATGATACAGTCAAACAGCACCTGCATGTGCTTTTGAATGGTAATGCAGCTTCCTCTCTGCTTATTGTCTTTAATTTCTCCACATTTTAACCCAACAGATGTTGTATACATAGAAAGCTTTACAAAAGTACGTTTTTCCCTTTGATGGAATGAATCTCATTAAAGCCACTACCCCCTCCTCCAAATGTTACATTGTTCATGTGGACATTAACTGATACATTAAATATAATATAAATTGAGTCATTAAATCGGCTAGAGATGGATGTATCATGTAAAGCTTTTTTAAAATTCAGTTAATAATTAATTATTTGCAGACACAATATATATATAATTGTTATCTTTTTTAAAATTTTATTCAAATACAATGCAAATATATTAAATTAATTTAAGATAGCTCTTTAATTTGATTAATTTAATAATTCATTTGGCATACTTAAAATCAGGAGATACATGTTGATAAATGAGGGGCTAGCTTTAAAAATGCAGTGTTGGTACAACTAGCAACAAAGCTGGCTAAAAGCCAACAGGGAGGAAGAAGGCAGCACTAACTGAACATGATAGCACAGGATGTAAACAGGAATCTTTTTAAACCGACTAAACTCAATGTCAGTGCGTGTTCGTGTTTTCGCTACACAAATAAACCTGATATTTATAGCTATAGTGTTATGTAAAAACACATCAGCGCTGCTATCAGCTGTATGTCCCATATGGTCTAGCGGTTAGGATTCCTGGTTTTCACCCAGGCGGCCCGGGTTCGACTCCCGGTATGGGAACTACTGTTTTGAATGGTCTTCTGATATTAAGCGCTGTAAGCCTTTTTTTTTTTTTAACAATTAATACCTTGGCGTGGCCACTGTAAGGGCCGCTAGGTGGCTCGTCAACGCCAGGAAAAACAGAGAGCTTGGCTCTCTTGGTCCTCCGATGAAGGCAGTATGGATTCTTGTTGGGTAAATTTATGAATCAACAAACTAACTTCATAGGTTAAGATACAGGTTGTCCAATATAAAAGACAACTTCTGTTTGTTTTTGGTCATGTCATGTTACCTGCTGTGAAAAACAACTACCAAACACCTGCAAATTACACCAACACTGTACATAATGTCCTAAAAACAATAATGCATGGCTACCTGCTGAGATATCATGTTTACCTGCTAACAATACAAAGTTAGATGTCAATTACTTTCTATTTTCTGTTGCAATCTTGCTTAACACCACATTTTTAAATCTCATTTTAATACATAGACAAATAAAAGAAAAATCACTAACACTCAGTGAGCATTTTTATGTAATTGTATTCTGCTGAATAAACAAAGAAAATATTATCTAACACTTTATGGTCGATAAGGATGTCTTATGTCTACAAGTCTATATTCATGCTCAATGAATGCTCAATTTTCTAAATATTTCTTCAGAAACTGACTACCTGCACAAGACCATTCGTCTTTTAATACAGATTTTATAATCAGTAATGGTTTTGCTCCAGTTTCTGGCTGATAATTACAGTTTTTCACTATAGCTACAACACTAAAGCCCATTCTCTGAACCCAATGCTCAATGGCCTAAACCCATTTGTCGAATCAGTCACTCCTTAGGCAAAACCTTAAACAAGTTTGGATAGTTAAGACACTGTTTGCAAATCTCATCCACTCTTTTTACAAAACTTTTAAAAAACACATTCTCACTCACTAAAACACATTTTGCACTGTGATGCACTTGTGTTGCAAAATGGTAAATACATGCAGCAAAGGTTAAACACAACTACAACATAGATTTCATCTTTTACACACAGCAACTCGTAATTCTGCACACTTGTTTCTAATGATGTGATCAAACCAAAATGTGGTCAAGTCCCTGGCCAGCGTAGTGGCAATATCACACTTTGACCAAGCTGTAAGTAGTGAAGCCATATAACACCAAAAATCTTCTTTCTTTTCTGGGTGGTCGTTGGAATTTTGTGTTTGAGTGTGAGCAGCAGAATCATCAGCTGGCAGTGCAACATTTTGCAGTTGCACAACATTTGAGTGTAAAGTACTTTTCATTTATAGTTTTCTTTGTTCTTTGGGCTTACTGTATTTGAATATACAGATATTCAATACTTTATTGCTTGCGGTACTTGCAGTATACTATATATTTAATTACTAAGTTGTGATTCCTATACTTTTTAAATTGGAAAATGTGTTTCCTCTGCACAAAAATTTATTTTCTGTAACTACACGCCCTGAACGCCGTGTGTCTAAAGAATGCTCTGTAGTGTTTTACCTATTGACTGGCTGTGTTTATAGCTTGAAAGCATTGTTTGATTTTGAGCACAGATCTTGATCTTGAGACAAGTGTTTGATTTTGCCAGGAGAGTCAGGGGTTTTGTGAATATAGTTTAAAGACTGGGTTTTGTGTTTCAAGTTTTGAGAATATGGGTGAAGGTTTCAAGTCTCTTAGCAATGTGTCTTAGCAATTGTGAAAAACTGTAAGTTAAAGTTAATCTACTAACTATATGTGCAAAACTGTGGCTAATAAATAACTTGATACTTGAATGAATTCAAACAAGTATTTACAGTAAGTTTAATATTTAAAAAAAAAAAACTAGCACACGTTTCTTAAATTTCAGAATAATTCTGACATTTTGTACAACACTAGAGTCATCTAAAGTATTTATTAAATGACATGAAAAAAATTTTATATGGAGAACTTTCAAGTCATTTGTCAAAACAACAAAACAGAGCAAACCAACAGCTTTGACTGTAAACATCATGGTCTTCATACAACCCGGTTACACACAATACATACGCTACAAAGTGCCAAACTTTGCCAAACTCAACCTGAAGGTTCAACATACATACACACAAACTTAATTAACCCACCTAAATTAATAGCAACATTTGCTTAACGCACATTTGATAACTTTAAACTTGCACCTTCATGTGGATTAGGACTGTAGATTGTGAAACAAGTTAATTTTGCATAATTCTCTTGTGATACCAGTGTCGAGGTTAATTGTTATCTGTGCTTGGAGCTTGCAGACAACATCCACCCCCGCGGCTTAAACAAACAGATCAAGTGCACTGAGTGCCTCGGTCTCCATGTCAGTCTGTCTCTGGGCCACAGCCTGCGAGAGAAAGTCATCCAGGAAGTTGTCGGTGTTGGGTTCGTTCATACAAGTGTTCACCTGTGACATTGCACCAGCAGCGTTGACCCCAGAGTCCAACTGGTCTACCCCATCTCGCCCTTTGGCGAGCATCTCAAGGAAGCCAGTGCTGTCCGGTGAGAGGTTGCTGGCTGTAGTTGCTGGCGAGAGTAGGTCTGAAAGGAAGTCATCGCAGACGGAGCCGTCAAATGTACTTGAGGTAACTGTGTTAGGAGAGCAAAGGGCAGTGCTGTCCGGTCGGAGGCTGGCTCCCCCTTGATGACGCAACATTTCATTCAGCTTAGCGAGCTTCTTCTTCTTTGCCTTCAGTTTCTTTATCAGCTTGTACCGGAGGGCTTCAGTGTCGCTGAGACCCGGAGGAACCTTTGAGGACTGGCTGCTATGTTTCTTTGAGGAGGATATTATTTCAGGGAGCACCTTTGCTCCAGGCGTAGGAAGTGATGACACCACTGTACAGTTTGTTAGTGATTTCAGGTGTTCGGGGGTTATAGGTTGAAACAGATATGATGTGCCTTTGGGAAGTGCAGCTGATGGGAGCGGACTCGGGGTATTTGAGCTCTTTGCACCGAATGCGCCGTACATTTCTGCAGCTTTTAGTGGCAGACCCTCACTCTCCTCTGTCTTGAGCTGTGGTTTAGGGAGGAGTGCACCAGGAATCTGCTGTCTTCTCACAAGGTTGGGGGTAGAGTGAATGGGAGGAGTGGGCTTTACTTTTGTGACCGGGATGGGGTCAGGTTTTACGACCGAATTGTGAACCTGGTGTAGTGGGTGTTTGCTGAGCAGGAAGGACCAGCGGGCATTCTGATCTAGTGCTGGCGGCACTGTGGGAGTTTTCTGACTATTGGACAGAGGTGAAGTGTCTGTAGAAGACACACAGGGTGCTTGTTTTGTAGTTACAACAGACGTGTTAACATGAGCAGCAGCACCCACAGGTTTGTTATTGATCACTACAGAGGGCTCTGAAGACGCAGGTGGTGAAATATGTGGAGCTGCTTTGGACAAGGATGCCTTTTTACCTGCTTGTCTGCTAACAACATTGCCTCTGCCAGTTCCTCTCCCTCGTCCTCTCCTGGCACCAGGCACGAATGTAGGATCGCTAGACGAGCCACCGTCAGATTCGCATGAGCTGGAGGCGGTGGGGAGCTCAACATCAGGGCCGTGAGACATTTCACTAGCTATTGCAGTGGAGGAGCTGTCCGGTGTAGGGTCGAGTACTTTATTCCTGCTGGGAACGCTCAAATCTTGCTCGTCTTGCAAAGCTTGTTCGTTGTCATTTAAAGGATGCATTTCGGAATCAGCTTTCAACTCCACCAGTGTGAGTGTAATGATGTCATCATGGCTGAGGCCCTCGAAGGTGTCAAGCAGTGTTGTGGAGCCCATCGATGCATCAACACCAGCTGTGACTGTTGTGTCCATGATGTTGCTGCTGTCTTCAGATGCTGAAAGTGCGCAGACGATGTCCGTGTCATTGGGAGACAAAAGAGACTGATCTGGAGTGCAAGGTACAAGTTCATCTGCCATCAAGTCTTTGTCCCCTAGACTGGGCTTCATCTCATTTTTAGATGTGGGAGATTGAGCAAATGTGCTGGACGGAGCACAGGGCTCTTTATCCTCCTGCACCTCCCAGAAGACAACGTGCATCTCCTGAGCAGGGACCAGGAGCTTTCGATGGCTCTTACAGTGGGGATGCTGTAAGTCGTCATATTCCAGCCATGAGCCTGTAAGGTACAAGTACGACAATAACGGAGTTACAACAAAAAAACAGCATGTGCAGCATAAATATTTATACAGATATGTGTTATGATTAGATTCTGAGGACTAGCTACATAACCAGGGTAGAGGAGTTATCGATTCACCCATAATTATGACCTAAATGATTTTATTTGACAAACAGCATGACGATACTAATACGAGAACTTTATTTAACCAAGACAGTGCCTCACTGAGACTCTCTTTTACAGGGGCATCTTTGCAAAGACAGCAGCAGGAGATAAAAAAAGAGCATAAAAAATGCAACACATAATGTGGACTAATAAAATAGAATGTGGAAATGTCTAAACAAATACTGGTAAAACTGCAGCAGACACGCCACAGATAAATTCTTTAAGTGACAATGAAACAAGCCCTAAATGGCTTCAGTCTTCTGGAGTTTAACATTGCATGAGTTGTCCAGCAGAATGTGCTGTTGGCAAAAACTACAACATAGAGGAACGGAAATATCCACCTTCAGGTGACTCAAATATGAACTGTGCGTTTGTGGTTAAACACCAAGTGCAAATAGAAAGGTTAATAAAGAGAAGTAAAAAAAGAAGCTCTTGGAAATTTGATTTCAATTATCTATGTAAAAATATTCCCACAGCAGCACACCTGGCTGCCATCGCAAGCTATTGTTAACAGGACATGATGGGGAAAAAAGGGAATAAAACTGTAACAGAATCAGTCTTAAGATACCTACCATCAGAATTACAAACCCAGGTGACAAAGTGCTTCAGCTGATGGATGTACTGTATGACAGTGGTGATCGAGTAACGTTTCCCATTGAAGGTGAAGGTGTAGAGTCTGACGTCATTGTCAGGAAGCCCCTCTACAAAGTGCAGCTGAAACACTGGAGGCACTCTAAACAAAACACAAAGCAGTTTTGTTAAATGGATAAAAACCATAACGTGAAAGCCTAGGTAGGACTTCTGTAAAACAATCTAAAACCCTGTTTCTATGAGGCTAGAGCGAGCGTTTCCTTGTTCTCACTCCTGCAAATATACAGACGTATTATTATTAAAAAAAGTGTTCTATTATAAGATGGTTACGTTTAATATTTAATCGGAAGTTGCAATTTAGAGATAAATGTGTAATTTTGCAGACGATTTAAGTGGTGAGTAATAATGAATTGGTCATTTTATTCGCCTCAGCAATATAATACAGTCGCTTTAACAGATAATTTAGCATCTGTAGGCAGACAATTAAAATTAATTTGATAATGTGTGGTGTAGCTGCAGAGGCACACAGTTTCTTACCATGTCCTGTAGAGAAGTTGTTTGTTATTCTAACAACCTAACCTGCAGATTTCTGCTGCACTTGTATTTTTATATCAGACAACTGACTTCTCTGGATCTCTATCTGGAGACTATGAGAAATTAACTTTGCCCATATATAATCATCAATTATTCAATAACTAATACTGTATGTTAAATGGACATCCTTTGTTGACATAGTAATTAATTTTTCCTCTGTGTTTCAACAACTGCAGTATAATTATTTCCTACGAGTAGGTGTAAGTACTTTGCAAATGGTTTTCCGTTTTGAAGTGAATTCCAACTAAAAATCACACCGTTAAGTGGTTATAGTGGTCATAATTTTCAATTGTACTGTTGCATCACACACACACACACACACACACACACACACACGTGAACATTTATCTTAATCATTAATCAAAAGTGAATTCCAAAAAGGCTAGCCATCGTAAAGCCACTGTTATTATACACCATTTTTCAAACTAAAAGGTAAATCGGTATTTTCTGCTAAGCAGGCTAGGAGTAGGGGGGTGTCTGTTTTAGCGGCCATGTCTTTATTATTTGTAGTAATTTAGCTTGTATCTCATTTCGCCATTTTAATTATACTTTCCATCTTAAGTGTCACTCACTAATTGAACCTGCCTCCTTCAGTTTTCTTCACACTCAAAGCCAATGTCTGCTGCAAACATGTTAGTGTGCCCCGCTTCTTCACATCTCTCCCTGTATGTATGATCCGGTTTCTTTCTCCATCAGTAGTAGGCTACATTGTATAAGGTCGCCGACTTTCTTCCACCCGCAGCGGTGCCACATGTTGTGGAGGCGTGTTGACTATGTAGCCTATCAAAACAAAACCAACATGGTAGCTAACGAATAACATCTGACTGGTGTGTTCACTGTCACTTTACCCGGTCCGCTCTTGTAAAATATCCACCGTGTTGCTACTTGTAACGTAATCACTCCGTGTTTCTCTGATAATTGCTACAATGTGTCGCCTAACCTGGGCGGCCCGCCGAAGTAAAGTGAATGTGTGGGAAACACTGACTGAACCGTTGTTTTTTTTCCTTTTCACAAGCCAGGTCTTTAACAGTGTCGACCAGCACCGTCTCTCCCTCCTGTTGAGACTTTGTGAGTAGACTACTTCGTGCAGACGCAGAGGGAGGAGCTGGGCTGTGCAGTGAGGGAGAGAGATGAGCAAATGCTGGCAGGATTTTACGGGAACATATATAACTCAAAATCAAACTATATCGGTATAAACGGTATTGTCTAATTTTATATCTTTTGAAAAATATCAGTATAACTCTTATACCAATATACTGTCCAGCCCTACTAAAAAGTAGACACATGAACAGTTGAATTCTTACCTCTCCAGCACCATAGTTCGTCTCTGATTTGTCTTGCAGCACACATTGCACGGAGCCAAGTGGACCGCACGAAGTGGGTGCCAGTCAGGCAAAATATTTGTGAAGGTGGGGAGAGTTTTCATAACCCTGAAAGGTACAGCATGAAATACATTTAGGATTTTTACAGTTTCACAAAAGACTGGCAAGAAGTGGGAAAGAGTGTGTGTGAATGTGTATCACAGCCTGTAATTAGGGCTGTTTGGAATTGGCTCTATATAAATTAAATAGTTGGCATTTAATAACATGTTGTGGTCAACTGTTCCCAATAGACATAAGATTGAGTTATCTACATAAGATCAAGATAAACAATGTACCTCCAAAACCATCTGTCCCAGCCATCCACCAAGCTAGTGCTGAAACCTTTAGCCCCTTTATCAGTTAGTTGATTAACAGAAAATTATACCACAATTTTGATTGTAAATTGGAGAGGAACTTTCTCCTGGCCGATTCCGATTTCTCAATGGTGTGACCTGCTAATTATGATTTTCTTTCTTTCTAAGAACTATAATATACATACAAACATTTTATAACTTTTGTTTAATGGAAAACTATTCCTTTCTTTATTACAATCCCCATGAGCACCAGCATAAACTATTCTTTCTGGGATCCTTTCAATTGCATGTTCATAATAAAATGTTGACTAACAAACAGCTTTTAAATTTTCTCCAAAACAGCAACAGTTACATGACCTTCTCTCCCTCAAACACATCTCAAAATAAAAAAGTGCTCCAGGTTAGGCTGCTGGACGGAGCTTTTTTGTAAAAAAATAAAGTCCAACTGAAAATAAGTTGCCACAGAATGACAGTGGGGACATGGGGGGGGGGGGTATATTTGAAAGAATACATTACCCTATTTCTCTCACCATTTTAATTCTACTTAATTCTCCACCTTATTTTAGTGTGCACAAACTGCTTTAATCTGCTCACCTTGCTTTTCCCATCAGTCACACACACGTACAGCTGTCTCTCTCTCTATCGGTCTGCTCTGTTCACTTTGTCAGCAGATTTATAAAGTCACCCAAAAACAACTTTTTTTTTTTTACCCACGATTATGTTTTCACAGCTGCAGGTGCGCTGCGTGCGAAGGAGGCTTGTTAATTACCGAGACCAACGTACTACTGAATGACATCAGCACAAACGTGTGTGTTCACTGCTGCTTTACCTGATCTGTGTAAAATACCCACAGCCTTCTAACATAATACCAGATAACGTCTTTCTCTCTCCGTTTCTATGGCAAATATACGTTGGCAACGGCTAACAAACCTGTGTGGTCGTGGTGCGGAGGTTTACAAATTGTGAGCTTTGGTCTTCCCTGGAGAAGAAAGTCCGTACCGACATGCTTTAGCGCGTGTCGCTGTGACAACAGTCTGTTCCTGACTGTGCTGCTGTGTGAATGACGTGAAGCATTGTGCAGTGCAGCATGCGTGTAAATGTGACCGGCACCGGTCACGTCTGATTTAGTTGAAAACCCAGTTTCCAGTCACCAGCTGATCTATCGGTGCATCTGTATTGTAAATTGTTTGTAGTAAACACTCACTTATTCAAGGTTCTCCAAGCTGAGGATTTGCTTTTCTCTCTTTTTTTATATCATTGTAAATTAACTCAACAAATAAATCGATTAATTGTTAAAATCAATTAACTAAAAGAATAATTATTTGTAAAAATAATTTGTTACTTGCTGCCCTACACTTCAGTCTACCAAAACCTTTAAGTTTGCACCACCACAATGTTAGTTCTAAATCTAAAGTTACCAAACCTGGCAATGCACTATTATCCTGAAGAGAATATTTCTACTACTACACTAGAGACAAATGCTGTTCTTGCAGTTCTGTGCTGGTCCCACATGGTGTTACAGGACACTTTTTTTTCTCCAAACATGTTGCTAATAACCAAAACATGTGTGAGAACTGAGAGTTTTAAGCCATTCAATCAACAATCCACTGTTCACAATCACTGTGGATAAATGAGCCCATGTGATCAGAGGTTATTACTTATTAGAGGACTTTATACCAATTTGTCTTCAATGATTCATTCATTTGTATTTTTATATATATATCTTTTACCGCTCCAAACCAAACTCAGGCACATTTGGGACCTCATTGCTATAATAATTGCTATAGTGAGCGATGCATTTGTTCCCAGGATGATTACTTTGACCACAATTACTTTATGTGCTTTAAATCTACAGCAAGTTTGAAAAAGACTAAATGCTTTAGTGGATCCAGTAAAAAACATAGTATTTCATCACCTACCTTTCTGTCGTGGCAACCTGACATTCACTGCATTTGAACTCCCAGTGAAATGTCGACTGGAAGAGTGGCTCCACCCATGAGTCCATTGTAAGCAGAAGCGGCATGGCAAAAACCGGAGTTTCCCTCTTACCTGGAAAGCACAAACATGCAGCAGTTAGAGCATCGTCACGGGTACGAGTGCCGACAGAAGCAGAAGTTACACTCTCCATTTCCAGGTCATTTTAAGAACTAAATGTGTGGATGAGATAAGGAAAAGCAGATTGTATAGCACATTTTAAACAAGGCAAGCCTTTAGATACAATTAAAAAGACAGGAGTGACAGGAGTGTGAAAGATATAGTGCCCTTTAAGATATTAATCCTAAAAATAAGTGGCATGTATGTCTGTATCTAAAGTGTGTCTGCATTGCTTTCCCCCTCACTATGCCTGCCTATGCCTTTGTATTTGCAGTATGCAAAGAGTTACAACCACTAAGCAAGTTGTCCCACTTTGTTATAATGTAAACATTTGGCTGCAACAAGCTGAGCAAAATCCAAGGTTTGCATGTTCAAACACGTCGCTTTCTGTTATTATCAGGTGATAATGGATGCTTTGAAATTTCAAGATTTACTCTTGCCTTGGATACTAAACAGGGATTAATGACTCGGTACAAGAGCAAGTGAGACACCAAATATCTAAAGCACAATAGACAAAAAATAGCAAAAAAACTAAAACAAAATTAAGCAATTTTGCAGTTTGGAAATCTTACAAGGGGCCCTAGATACATTGTATAAATGCTACGTGAATACATTTTGCAGAAGCAACTTACTAAAACAAGACAGACTAACTTATATACTTCATTTTGTATTCTGTTTGGCAAAAAAAGAGCATATGAAACCTAATATACATGAACAGAAGGCTTGAGGGGCCATGGGAGCATTGTGTTGTTGAGTTTGAAAAGCATCCGCTCAGACATTCTCCCTTGCTCACAGTAGCTTGGCACAATTTGCATATTGTTCCTGATCACTGAACACTGGTTTCCTATCAGTGTTGGTGGCTTCAGAAATATGGTTTAAAGAAACATTTTTATTTCTTTATATTTATCTACTTCTCTACAGCTGTCCCACCTCAAAGGGAAAGCACATGTTCATGAAACTGACTTGAAGAATTTACAAATTTTAATATAAACCTCTGTTGTTTTATAAATGTATTTAAATGTGGCAAAAAACTGGCAAAAAAAAAAGACGTGGTGCACGACAACTTAAATTTCTCGCCTTTCTTGTCACATGTTACAGAAATGTGCTCACTGTTAAACCTCAAGAATGACACATTTTCATTCAGTAGGCCTTTCTAAATTGTTTTAGTGCTTTCCGCACAACTAGTTCATTTGCTCTGGTCCGAATCAGTGGATAAGTTTGTGAACTTGAGAGAGTTTTCCCCTCGTTTCGCTTTCTATTCACACAGAGAAAAACCCATGTGAACCAAAATGCATCACTATAAACCACGTGAGAGCGTTCAATCTGCTTATTGATCAAATGTGTCTGGGGCGGGAGCATGAAAGTAACTACACAAACAGGGTCCAGTTTTGGCCAATATACCAGGCAAAACTATACCAGTAGAATGCACTTCAAGGAAAGGTCTTCAAAATACTGCTTCAGATTTTGCAAAGAATATGTGCCGCCTTCACATGCTTGAGCAGAACAAGGCAGCTAATGTTCAGCATATACAAAGGTAAGCTAACCGTCAACATGTTAAACCGAAGATGTGTCTCATAAGTGTGATATGTTAATGCTAGTTGGGTCGGATCGAGGTCAGAACACAGTTCCACCATAAGACAAATGCTCTGTGCGGTTGGTTGGTCTGCACCAGGGTTTGATTGACAGCTTTCACATCAGCCCAAACAACCGGTACTAACCAGGAAAACGCACATCATCTCCTGATGCCAACACTCGAATTTGGTCACACCACTTTTAGGCAGCCATTAGCCTGAATTGGTACTAACATTGAAAACATGCAGGGTCCCTGCATGCAACCAAATCCAAAATAATTTACTGTTTCTCATACTCTACTTCATTCTCCACCTTATTTAAGTGTTTACTCACTAATTGAATGTGCTCCCTTTTTCCACCCACAATTCCGTTTTCAGCTGCAGGTGTGCCGCATGTGGAGGAGACTGCTTAATGACGTAGCCTATCAAAATGAAACCAACGTGGCAGCTAACAAATGACATTGCACTGGTGTGTTCACTGTCACTTTACCTGGTCTGTGCTTGTAAAATATCCACTGTGTCTGCGTCACGTAACGTAATAGATAACAACTCTGTGTGCGTCTTTGCAAAATGCTAAAAATATGTAAAGTAAAGTCTGTATGTGGACACAACTAACAAATGTCTTCAGTGATTGAACTTACCCAGTTTGCAATGCAGCTTGGTCTTAAGTAGTTTGAAGATTGACATCCTAAGACTCTGTAGATCTGCATTGGCCTTTTGCAACACAAGTTTTGGCACCCTTGCCACACCATCTAAAAAGAAACAACTTTAATTAAGTGAATTGCACATAGAAGCATTGCATTATATTACAAAAATTAACTTCAAACGCTTTTTAGACAATGTGGTTGTAGACTTTCTTTGATGCAGTACTTAATTTACAGTCAAATGGCAGTACTATATTTGTGCTAGTCCAAAAAATATCTCGACTTAGGGTCAGTTCACCCAAATCACAAACAAAACATTTTTAATTAAGACTTGTGGTATCAAGCAATGCAGACCGTTTGTTTTTCAGCTTCTGATGTATCCACCTCACACATCTGCCACTATCCTAATGCAATGGAGGAAAGTCGCATTCCTGCTGTGTTTTACGAATGTAACATTTGAATGTTTTTAACAGCACAAAGATTAATTTCCATTGCCCTACAATTTATTGAGGTGGCAGAAGAAATCTAAAGGATGGATATCTAAGATATATAAGTCCTGGCCCTGTTCTCTTAACATATCCAGACTTTCATGCCAATATCAGGCTACAGTCATCATGTTAATTCTCATCCAGTGAATTTGGTTCTTCTAAAGCAGTTTGACGATTGATTTCTTCATCCTGGATGAAGTTACCTTGGGTAAATCTGCGCTCTTATTTTGAAATAAAGGCTAAATGAGCAGAGAGCTGAAACCATGGTCAGCATTCATTTGACTGGCTGAGCACTCATGTGATTGCAGTTCCATGGAAGTAAGTGTGTTAGGAAGCCTCCCAATATGCACTGGTGCAATAAAGTCATGACATCAGGTCTCATGTTATTCATGTTTCTGCATTGTTACTGGTGTTATTTTGTTGTACATTGTGCTCCACAATGTTTCCACATTTCAATGGTTGTTATATAATTTAGTATGAGTGCATATGGTTACAGCATGAGTGATGCTGTGTTCAAGAAATTGCATATTTGGTGTTTGGTACACTTTTTTAAATTTTATTTTGTTTCTTACTGTAGCTAATTAACTTATTCCAATTTAAAATAATGTATTCATCGTGACCCAGCTATGTAAATAAACCTGTACTTTTGCAGGTTTGGGTTTAAGGACTTGTTGCTAAGACACTAGCGCCAGATACACTTTTATCCAGACTTCAACAACAATCAAATCAAGCCAACTCAGTTATCCACGTACAAAGAACAGGGCCCTGGGCCTGCATGGCTTCATACCACTAGAGGTCCAGAAAGTGCGAAAACACAAGACTCAGCTCTTAATTGACATTAGCAGTTTAAGATTTCTGTTCAACTTTCTGCTGATTGTGGTATTTTTATTCTGGAGTAATGCATCTACACACAGTTTAAAAATCTGTTGAAATGACTCAAAAGTCACAGGTATACTGCAGGCTACCTGATTAACTTACCTCTGCCTGTTTGCTGGTGGACTTGAATGGCAACACAAATGTCTTCATATCCTCTCATCAGCCGCCAGACAGACGACCGCTGAGGCTCATATTTAGGTTTACACTTTCTCAAGCTCTTAAAGTTTACCAAAGCAACAAGCAGCGAGTCCAGCCAACACAGGCTGTCACTGTTCCTCCAGAAAAGCTGATTCGGAACATGCACAAGCTCATCTGACTCCACGGACAAATCCTGAGTTTCGGATTTAATGCTTCTTACATCCTTACATGTGGTGATGTCTGCAGTCGGTGGTTTCTGTTCCGGCCTTGCTGGCTGCTCATTGTGCTGAGGCGATGGAGCAATGACTTCAGTTGAATGGATATCATCATGTGTGATAAAGGACTGATTGGAGTCCGGAATGCAGGGTCTGTTCAGCACCTCAGGAGGACTCTTCACCTGCCTATCGCCATCCTCTGTACCACAGTGAAGAGAGAGTGCAGGCTCATCCGTGTCAGCGGTCAACAAGGCTTCTGATGAGCACTGCAGGTGTCCAGCTGAAGCTGCATATGTAGTGCGAGCAAAACCATCTGTACAAGAGGCATTCTCTGGTTCCTTGTCCAGGATATAATCCTCATCTTGTAGTGATTCCCATCCTGTTGTCCCTGCAACTGGAGAATCCCTGCTGTATCCATTTACCTTTTCACCATCTGTCTTTGGTGCTGCACATTGGCCATTACAGATAACGTTTGCTGCACCATGCTCCACTGGGCCGATAAGTGTGTCAGTAATACTTGGTGGCCAAAGACTGTCAAGTTCACTTGATCGCAGACGTTTGTGCACGGGTTTAATCAACTCTTCTTTTTCCAGTGACAAGGCATTTTTTCTTTTGTTCCCAACAGTGGGCTCCACAGGATCCAAGCTAGCCAAAACATCCTCCAAGGGCCGACTGACCAGAGGGAAAAGACACTATGTGGGAATGGAATACGGAAAGGTTAACAAGACATCTAGCAAAAAAAAAAGAAAATAAATGAAACACGGCTGTTCAGTTGGATGTGTGTGTAACACCAGTGCTGGCACTTACCTGTGAGTTTGTGCAGAGGGTGATCGACTCCTGGAGGTTGATGCGGTAAGAGCGCAGAGCATAGGTCAAGCCCTTCGAAGTACACCAGGGACAATACTCCAGTGAAGCAGCTCTTTCCTGAACCTTTAAAAAGATTTTTCAAATAGTTGAAAGAACATGCAAAACTGGACAAAATTTGTCTCCTACATACATATTTTTTTTTTTTTTTTTTTACCAACTTCACTGCCATTTTTCAGCATCTCTTTCATCTCTCCACTACTACCAGCAGCTTTCATTATTATATTCTTCCATCCATTTAAATAATTGTCTGTACATGCATTTCAGTAACACATGAAAATTAGGAAGGTTTACTTGATTTACCTTTCAGAAGTGAAGCAGACAAGTAAGAACTGCTGAAAGTAATTGTCGGGTTTTATTGTACGTTCTATTTTTTTTTTTTTACTTTCGCCTCAGATTTTTGCTCATCAATATCAGTACAAGTGACAGTTTGGTGAGGCTGAATGGCACACATGAAGTGGAATTTTACCAGAATCCGTAGATGGCAACTACATATAAACGTACATGAAACTTAAAAGTATGCAGTAATAGTCAACCATTGTTTTCTTTCAAAAATATATGCTTGTAAAGAAGAAATTGGTGGTACACAGTTTCTCATACAACATTACAGTTGGTAAGTTTCAAGCTTACCAAAACCTTTCGCCTTTTACTACCAAAGATTTCCATTTGTGTTTTGTTTTCTTCTGTTTAATTTGGATTGATTTTCAAATTCAATTCAGCTTTGCGCAAGTGACAACAGTGAGAGGAAAACTAGAGCTCTACTGACTTTTCCCAAATACCCCGCCAGCGGTGAGGCCAAAGCCCCCAAACCAGTATCTTCACCAGTCAATGGCAATCCACCGCCGCTCTTCTGGTCCATAGCTGTCCGGTGCCATTCAAAAAATATTACCATGTCACTGCAACCTGGCTCACCTCCAAAGAAGCTGAGGAGAAAAATACAGCACCGCATAGGGCATGTTACTCAATGCCTACAAGTCATGAATGCACAAGGAAATGCAAGTTTTTCTATTTGTTTATAAAGTGATTATAGTTATATGGTGTTACTATTGTTATACTGTAGAGAAAAATGCAGCTGAATGACACCACTTCGTACAAACTGTACCCCACTGTCCCTTAAACACGTTCTGAAATCTACAGCATAACCCAATGTATTTTTCTATTTCATTCATTCAAATTCCATCTAAAACAAGATGTTACTGGTTAAGTTAACACATGTATGAGACTGTACTCATTGCATTATGGAATTATACATGACTTTTCTTTGTTTAGATATCGGCAATATATATTGGCCATCTGCCGCACTAAATATCGGCATCAGGAAATGAAAAACCCATATTGGTCGCCCACTAAATCACAATATAAAATTATGTATATCATGAACGATACAAAATTGTATTTATACTATTCATGTCTACTCCACGTTTGAATATTAGTCCAAATGGGTATAATCATGAGTTTTTAAGAGTATGTGTAGTTTGTGTGGCCTTTTACATTGAAGGTTTTTGTCAAATATCAGAAGTAACCCAGGACCCAAGCTGTTTCACTGTCCCTCTACACAAAACTAGCCTAAAGACAGATGTTTGCAGGGACACGCGTGGTACCACCAGGGCAGCAGCAGTAAAATCTGCCACCGATGCTGAAACACAGAAGTCTAAGCATTTAACTATTAAAACAGCACTCAAAAAAGTTCATAACACATACGTAGCAGGATTTGCGTTACACTGGCACGTAAAGGCCAATTTTAAAGCTGTTAACGTTAAACACAGTGAATTGGCATCTCCTAAGGCAAATTAATCAGATACACTAAACTTCAACTCCACTTCATCTCGATTCGGGAACAAAATGATGTAAGGTTTCTCATTAGCTTGATAATACATTAAGACTATAATAACTTTTTTTTTTTAAAAGATTCAAACTTTCTGTTGAGATAAACTACATTTACAAGCCTAACCGCACTAACGTTAAATGAACACTTTCATTCCCTGCACCTGGCGGTTAGCATGCTAACATATTAGCAGGCAGTCATTTCAGTCGCTACAGCCTCATTTTCAGTTTTCGTGAATAAAACGTATACGTACCGACACCAAATTAAAATTAAATTAGATAATACGATGCTGATCGACAAAACATCCACAACGAGCTGTATTTAGTAATCCCTGCCTGCGGAGAAAGTCCATGTGCATCCCTCTGCCAGTTCGTGTCACAAACGTTCGTTTTCCGCTCGCCGGCGGTTGTGCAGCGGCCTTTGTCGTCCCCTTCTGACAGACAATGGTTCCGCTGGCCCCCACCTGGTAGTTCAAGGCAACTGCAGTATCCTGTGCTCAAGTTATTGTTCATGTCGGGACTGAATTTGTATGGCACTGCCATGGCACTGCCCATGAAACCAGTACTAACCGGTGCTACTGCGAGAACATGAGCACGAACGTGTTGAAAGATATGTTTTATTTAATCGCGTTATTTATAATCATCAAATGCTTAATTTTTAAAAGCGAAATATAAACGTTGCATACCATATTTTCAAAGTGGAATACATAAACAGCTTGAAAGAAGGCTAAAATAGACAATAAATAAACATGTTTATCTGCAATTCCAATTTTCAATATAATTTAATTCTACTTTATCTCATTATTTTTATGATTATTATTATTAGTACTTTATTAGATGATAATGTATCCCACATTAATAATGGCATTACACAAGTTACAAGGCACCATGGTGCGTTTAAACCAGTCTGAGTTCATCAGACCCATCATCATTCTATGAACTGATTTAGACTATTTAAAACTGATATGAGACAGAAAACCAAGCAACCTTTCACATTTGTGAAGCTGTCAAAAAAACCCAAAGATTGATAGTCAGAATTTAACTGATTAGCATTATTTTCTATTTAGCTATTTTAGATATACTTGCAGCAGTCCCCAGAGATAGCCTAGGTCTATTTTGAAATATGAGCCTGTATAAATGTCTCCCACATTCAGTAGTTTGCTTATCTGTTGTTATTATTATTATTTTTTTTAATAAGGCTACTGTATGTGGCTACTTGAGAAGTAGAAGGGTGGAATTGGTTGGGGGTGGGACGGGGGTACATATGTCCCTCACTGTGGTCCTATAATACAGCCCAGCACCTCACACTTGCTCTTGTACCCCCCCCCCCCCCCAAACACACACACATTCACAGATGTGCACACACAAATCTCCCTCCACCAAATCCCGCCTCTTGTATGTGCCCTCCTCCCTTAAGCCCCCCCCCCCCTCCAGTATGTGCTGCTCTCCTGTCCTCTATTTTCTTCTTGATGACAAAATGAATTTGCATATTTTTCCCAGGGAGCGCTCATTAGAATGCATAAACCGGCCGCCTCCTAGCCTCATGAGCAGGCTATAGCTTTCTGCCGTGGCATCTCCTGATGCAAAATGAGATACAGACAGGCAGCATCACAGGCAGACATGTGGCCAGAGTCTGGGTTGTGATTGGCATTTGGAATCAGTTCACCCTTCCCATTCTTAATTCAAGGATAAGAATAAACTCTGTGTCAGCCATTTTTCTTTGTTTCTGTATTAGCTGCTAAGCAGGAGAATATATTTATTAGATTTCCATATTAACTGCATTTGGAAAAAAATTAATGATTTCTTAAGCACGTGTGCTTGTAAGATTTATCTTCAGTGGACATATATTTTGCAAATCATAATGAATATGGACATACTCTTTATTTTAGCACCCCCACCCCCACCACATTTAAACACACAGACCACATTTAAACATTTAAACACACAGATAAGCATTTCAAGTCAGATAAGTTCATAACCTCCACTTTGGGCAAAGTAAGAAGTCATCTTGAGGAAGGCCCCTTTCACAGTCTAAAATAACTGCCCTAAATTTTTCTCAGACTGGTCAACACAATGGACACCCACTATGTTTCTGTCTGTAAGTTTTGTCTATGGTGGGGCTAGAGCTCAGGTCACAGGTCACATAAATCTGTATTCTACCTAGGACTACTGGAAATGTGAATCTGCAGAAACATCCTTCTGTAATACGTAGTCTAAGTTATAACCCTTAGTTATATCCAATTATACTAGTGCACAGCAGGTTTAGTGTAGGTAGCCTATATGTTATAAGTCAGGAGATACCATAAAGACAGTTTATAGGAGATACACTCATTACATCCATCTTTAGCTTTGTCTGATGGTGGCGCTAGAGCAAGGTCACAGGGTCATCAAACTCATTACAGTGGGTTTCTTTGACTAGCATGAATGCGCATAGCACATGTCATGCCCATGTAACCTTAACTTTCAAGATCTGTTGTTGATCACACAGACAAATAAATATACTAATTACATGACCCCTTGACATCTCTTGACCAAGCTAATGAGCTGAATTGTTCACCTGTGTAACAGCAGGACAACAAAATGTGGTTTTAGAGTGTTATTGAATCAGATCAGATACACATGAAAGGAAAAAAGGTGATAAAACTGGGAAAACTGTGTGTGATTAGCTATATTATATATTCTGTATGGTAATCTGTATGAAATTGAAAAACAACAATATTGTTAGTGTAAGTACAATATGAGCTACTAATCTGGACCAATACAACTTGTGTTTCAATAATAATATCTATGAGCTGCTTTAAAATCCCTGATCTGTTTGTACAATGGCTGGCAACAGTGGGTTGCATTAAAATGATGGATGGATGTCCTTTTCCAGTTTAAGTGTATTGTAACTAACTATTAACAATTTAATTGCACAGATTAATGTGTCTGGGTTTGGGAGTGTAAAACCCCTATAATATAATATAAATATATATATATATATATATATATATATATATATATATATATATACATATACACACACACACACACACACACACACACACACGGGACCTGCAATTAGCAAACATGTTTTAATATAATATTGTAAATCAACAGGCCTACAAGCAATTCTTATTGAAAAAATATTTCTTGTAGGTGTAATTATTGCCAAATTCCCTTGTCCTAACTATAAACTACTTTATCCACTAACTTTGGCTTGAACTGAACAGTAGCTCCTTCATCTCCTTAAGTCTGTGTTATAATGGGGGATGAGTATAGTATCATCTTTCAATTAGCTACTGCATATTAAACCTATAAAAATGAGGCAAAAAAATGTATATTATGCTAAGAAAAATAAAAAAGATAAATCTCGAGGTCTATACCTATTTAATGTTTTTACCATGATTTAATGTGTGTTGCTATTCTAATTTGAATAGGGACCACGTGCTTATAGGTAAACACAGCTATAGCACTGAATGAGAGCCTGTTAAAAAAATGATTATTATATATACTTGTCGAAAAGACTAAGAAAACACTGTGTGGTATAGTCAGCCTACCGATCCTTTCTCAATACTGGGCTAAAAATGACAATCAGTCATTAAAAGGCAGACTATTAACCCAATTGTCATTGTGTTTTCATTCTAACTCCGAGACAAATCCTTTTAAAATGTCCTATGTAGTGCGTAAGTACCACGCCTGGCACGAGCAAGCGCGTCTTCTGTCTTTTAGGCGTGATTACGCGATGTTCTCCATATGCATTTTCAAAGTCATAATTTGCAAATAAGCTTACGTGTATTGAGGAGATTGTACAATGGAGCAGGTTGAGGAAGAGGGGGACAGCCCATCCAACACAATCGCACACCGTTTTTACAGCTGTCTCGTTCGCGGAGTGCGAGCGCTCCACGTTGTCTCATTCATTTAACGTGCCTACTGTACACTGTGCTCAACGTAGTGAATTCAATACTATGGCAAACACACTACACTACTACCAGCTCCAGCATGCTCGGACAGAAATATTTTTGTATCCACGCGCTTCGGAAAACTTCGGTGACGTTTCACAAAAGGCAGCCAATGGGACCTCGTCTTCTATTAGGACAATGAAAAGCCTCCGTCCAATCGGAGGAGCGTCAGACTGGGCGCGGGCCAATGGCGTGCGAGCCCCGCCGAGAGTAATGTTAGAGAGCTGAAGACTGAAGACACTGCGTATCGCCTCTGTTCCCTCACTCACAGCCATTGCAGAGCATTGAGATCCAGTGATAGACCCTAGGTGAGTATCATACACGAACATGTTAAGTGTTTGTAATGATGAGAATGACGATAACATTTATGAATATCTTACTTATGTGTTTGCCCTGATCGAATGTGGAAGCTCGTGGTGCTCTGAAATTATTTTATTGCGGGGAACCGTCAAAAACAACAAAAAATAGCCGGCGATAAGCAGGTAACATTACATTGCCCTGCCTGGGAGTGTGGACCAGACGCTCTATAAAAAGGATCAAATGAATATTAACCTTGACCAAATTCGACGAAAACCGTCGATTCCGTTGAATACGAATAATTTTGTATATTACTGTCGTGTCATTCCTACAAAATGGAGTCGAATCAAATGGTAGTTATCGCGTAAAAATTCAGGAATGTCTAGCGAACAACACGGTTAGCGACAATGGTAGAAGACTTACCGTTAGCTAGCCATTGGCATTGCAGTGCATTGCGAAGCTGAATGCCTGTCATGAGAAGAGTGCGGGTTTGGATGGAAACAGTAAAATTTATAAAAACATAAGAAAAAGAAAGAACGCCTCAAAATACACACGGACATGTGTTTGTTTGCTATAATTCTCCCCGAGAAGACAGTGAAAAAATTACCTCACGATCTGCGCTTTACTGTAATGGCTGACTGTATTCGCATAGGAGGCAAGGCAGCGAGGCAAATGGGAAGCCAGTGACAGAGGCGCAGTTCAGTTCAACTTTTTCTAACCGTGTTTTCTCAAGAAGCAAACCCGTAACTATAAAATGTAACGACGGCAAAAGAAAGTTCAATCTTCCGTGATTCCAACGACCCCATTGTGAGATTTCTCCGATGCTCAGAAAAGGTTTAAATCGGGGGTTGAAATGTAGTAGTCGCCGCGGTCGCTCTGCCCTCTATTGCATGCAGTGCAATGGCTGTGCGTTGACACAAAGAGAAGGAGCCATATTCTCCATGTTAGTGGATGAAGACGAGCGGCCATTAGGAGCTCATAGAAACCAAGGCAGTAGCACAGCCCGCTCATAGACACAGTGCAGACCCAATGTATTACTATACAAACCGGCTAGTGCAATAGGAATCAATCGGGGAAATATTTTGTCAAGATCGCCGGCTTTCCAGAGATATTTGTCGAGTTGCAAAGCGAACTGGGAGGCGGGAGGAGACATTTGAGGGGGACTTTCTTTCA